AGCTGACTAAATTTAAATTGGAAACGAAAAATGGCTATTAGGGCTATTGTCCCCAAAAGTGCTGGGACTTTGCCAGCTCAAACGTCCAGATTGCAATCTTTCTCTGTTCCAACAATATTAACATTTGAAATGTTGCAGGAAGCCCTCAAAACACAAGCCTCTGTTACAGAAAAAAAAATTGCTTCAATGTTTCAGGAACAAACTCGAGAAGTTGCTGAAGAAATAGCTCAGGTCAAAGAGACTATTCAAAAACGAAACCAAGAAATTAGAGAAGATATTATTATGGCAGTACAAGGATTGGCAGGACACATTGAAGAAATAGATTAAAAAGTGGAAGAAATTAAGCAGTCTAATGAGAACTTGGAAAATAAAATGGGGGAGGTCGAGGACAAGATGGAAAGAGCAGAGGTGGATGTGATAATGATACAATATAGAGACATAGAATTTGCTCTGAGAATAAGAGGCCTCAAGGAAAATAAGCAAGAGAATTTGAGAGAGATCTTTTCAGAAGCATTTGCACAGATAATGGAAGATCAAAAAGCAAATTTTGAATGGCAAATTGACAAAATTTATTGTGTCAATTCATGGGTGGCCAGACAGAAACATCTACCAAGAGACATTGTAGTTTATTTTACAACAAGGAGATTACGCAATGAAATCCTACAAGACACTTTTAAAAATAAACTTCAAGTGCAGGGGCAGGGGGTTTTAACACTGAAAGAAATTCCCCCCAAAATGTTGAGAGCCAGAAAGGATTATGCCTTTCTGGTGGAAGAACTGAGATACCGTCAGATACAGTATAGATGGGAAGTTCCAGCTGGTGTAGTGGTGAATTATTCAGGAGAAAGATACCGTCTCAATTCAGTGTGGAAGGCAAGAGATTTCTATACCAATGTATTAAAGGCTGGATGCCCTCAGCCCCAGGAAGCTAGAAGGAAGACGGAAATAGAGGGGGCAAGAAAGGGGGAGAAAGAAGAATTGTTGGCACAGGCCCAAAAGGGTGATTTGATTATTCAAGAAGAATTAATACAATTTTCAACTACTGTTCAAGCTTTGGAGATAGAAGAACCTAAGGATCAAAGACAGACTCGAGCGGCAGCCAAGTGTCAAGAAGAATTAAGAGTGCAGCAACTTCGAATGATTCAAGATACTACAAAAACAGAAGCAGTGGGAGGAGCAAGGCCAAAAAGTAAAATGCATGGAGATTCAGTGCTTCAGAGGGCCAAGAATGGCAACTAGATTTTTGACCTGGAATGTTAATGGCCTAAATTCACCACAAAAGAGGAGAGTAATGCTAATAAACCAGGGAGGTGGTTAGCATATTTGTTAAGGAAAAAACAAAAGTCACGGACTATAGAGAAAATAGAATATAAAGGTAAAGAGGTTTATCAGCAAAATATGATTAAAAAAGCATTTTTAGAATTTTATACGAGGTTGTATGCTGGTGATAAAATTCAAGGTACAGATATAGATAGATATCTACAGAAAGAGTATATTCTTACAATTACAAAAGAGCAAAGGGAGGGTTTAAATCAACCAATAACCACTGAGGAGATTATGTCTGCAATTAAGCAGTTGAAAGTGGGTAAAGCTCCTGGGACAGATGGCTTGACAGCTGCTTATTATAAACATCTGCAGTTAGTAATGGTGGGACCACTTAAAGAATTATTTACTAATATACAATATGGAGAAGATGTACCCCCATCTTGGAGGACAGCTTATATTTCTTTGATTCCAAAGGAGGAGCAAGACCACACCCAGTCAAAAAATTATAGGCCCATATCACTCTTAAATACAGATTACAAGATTTTTGCTAAAATATTAGCAAATAGGTTAATGACAGTCATGCAACAAATGATTCATAATGATCAAACTGGTTTTATAAATGGTAGACAAATGAAGAGTAATGTAAGGCAAGTTGTTAACCTATTGGAGTATTTGGGGAAGACCCACCAAATCCCTGTGATGCTGATATTTCTTGATGCAGAGAAAGCATTTGATCGATTGAATTGGCAATTTTTATTGAGAATAATAGAAAAGATGCAGTTTGGGGATCATTTCACAAAATCTATTAAGGCAATATATCAGAAACAAACAGCGCAAATAATAATTAATGGTAGTTTAACAGACACTTTTAATATAGAAAAAGGAACAAGACAAGGATCCCCTTTGTCTCCATTATTTTTTATTTTGACTTTGGAATTTTTGTTAAGTAAGATACGTGGCTCGGACAAAATAAGTGGAATTAAAATTAGGCAGTATGACTATAGATTACGAGCATTCGCAGATGACTTGGTTGTTACTTTAACCCAACCATTACAGTTGGTTGTAGGTCTAATGGATATAATTAATCAATATGGACAAGTATCTGGATTTAAAATAAATGCAGGGAAAACGAAGATAATAACTAAAAATATGACTATAAATCAAAAAGAAGAATTAGAAAGACTAACAGGATTTGAAATTGTAAAAAAAGTTAAGTATATAGGGATCTATATTATGACATCAAATGCGAAATTATTTAAGTATAATTATGATCCATTGTGGCAAAAAATACAGAGAGAGATGGAAAACTGGAAAAAATTACAATTATCCTTGCTAGGAAGAATAGCAGCAGTAAAAATGAATGTTTTGCCTAAGTTTTTGTTTCTTTTTCAAATGATACCAATACTTAAAAAAGATGAGAATTTGAAGATATGGCAGAAGGGTATTAATAATTTTGTTTTGGCAGGGAAGAGACCGAGAATAAAACAAAAAATAATGCAGGATACACATGAAAGAGGAGGTCTCAAAATGCCTAACTTAAGAGTTTATTATGAGGCAGCTGTTCTATCAGCAATGAGTGAGTGGATGAATTTAATAGAAGAAAGAATATTGAATATTGAGGGATATGATTTGGTTTATGGGTGGCATGCTTATTTATTATATGATAAGAAAGTGGACAAGACTTTTAAAAGTCATATATTAAGGAATGCTCTATTGCGTGTCTGGAAAAAGTACAAGTATAAACTAAACGAGAAGTTACCACTGTGGGCAATACCCAGACACGCGATAGAGAATATAAGTGTAGAGCAAAGGCAGGATGTGATTACATATAAAGAGCTTCTTAACAAGGAAAGAGGTATACTACAATTAAAATATGTGAATCAACTAAGAGAAGAAAGGACAATTGGAACATGGTTTCAATATGTACAATTGCAAGCTAGATGGAGAGAAGATCAGAAAATTGGTTTTCTGCAAAATGAGGAGAACTTGGTAAAACAGATTAGAGATCAAAGTCAAATGCATATAAAAAGGTTGTATAATGCGTTGCTAGAAATAGATTCAGAAACAGAATTAGTTAAGGACTGTATGATAAAGTGGGCACAAAATATTGAAGAACCAATAATGATGGAAACATGGGAAAAAATATGGGTTAGAAATGTGAAGTTCACGCAAGCCCAAAATTTAAGAGAGAATTTTTATAAAATGTTTTATAGATAGCATCTGGATCCTAAAAAGCTAGCCTGTATGTATCCAAGTGTGCAACCTAAGTGTTGGAGATGTGAATGTGATGATGCCACGTATTATCATATATGGTGGACATGCAAAAAAATTAAGGCATTTTGGATAAAAATATGGTGGATTATTCAAAATATTCTCAAAAAGAAGATAAAATTTACTCCACAATTCTTTCTGTTAGGCAAAATTACAGATTATGGAAAATTGTTGTAATGATTGTTAAAACTTTTTAAATAAATAAAAAACTATTTAGTAAACTTGTATTACTATTATTCTCATCTTTCCTATTACCTATCTCCTTTTCTACTTACGATATAACTTTGTTCTTGTATCTTTACAATTTATATTGTTTTATTTAGTTTCCTGGTATGATTTATATTGATTGCTTATTTAGTATCCTATGACTATCACAAAGTGTTGTATCTTATGATTTATGAATGTATTTTTATGACTATGATCATAATTTTATCACTTAAAGCTTTTATGTACACTGAGAGCTTATGCACCGAAGACAAATTCCTTGTGTGTCCAATCACACTTTGCCAATAAAGAATTCTATTAAAATATTTTTTTTTTAAATTCTCATAAAGTGTTAGATTGTAATGTGGAAACCATTATAATTCAGTGCAATTTTCTTCTTTCCGAATTATTTAAGGGGCATCAATCATGCTCACCATGAAATATCTATAAAAGTTATATTAAAATGTAATACATACAGTAATACAGACATAACTGATAAAAGAGCTAGCTAGTCTTTGCAAAAGTGTAGTAAATGAGCACAAATACCTGCCTGCCTTGATTTATTCATTCTATAATGCTTAAGAACATTCATACAGCATCTATTCTTCCTAATACATCTTATCTCAGACTGCCCTTGGGGGTTCAATCAATCAGAATAGAGCTGGAAGGGACCTTGGAGGTCTTCTATCTAGTCCAATCGCCTGCTTAAGCAGGAGACCCTTTACCATTTCAGACAAGTGGCTGTTAGGTTGAACGTGGTCATCAAATACTCTCCTGCTTATGCAGGACTAGCATGCCAACGTGATAATCAAGAGGGCTCTTTTTGCCACACAATTTTTGACAAACCAGCTGAAGATCTTCTGATGGGAGAAAAACAAAATTATAATACACTTTCAATTTAGAGAAGGTCAAGCAGTGATACTATTACTCAGCTCACGTCTTGTCTGTTTGCAATTTAATGTGCACACTTCTGATTTTCTGCACTTCTCTAATTAGTTTGCATCTGCACTTTACAATCTGACTTCTGACCACCGAGGAGATACAAACTGAAATCAAACAGTGAAGACTTACAAACATATTGAATATGTACAGTCTTGCTTAAGGTAACATTTCTTAATTTGCTAACACTGTAGCTCTTAGCTTGGCTGCCATAAATTACGAAACTATAGAAAATAAGGATCTATTCCATACACCCCTCTGTTAGAAGCAGGTACAAAATAATCCTGTCAGTCTGATAGTGGAAAAGAATAGAAAAACAGTATTTTAGTATTAGTTTATTCACAAATATACAAGTTATTGCAATAATCCCCCCCTTGACACATGATGACTGCTCATTTATAACCACAGTAAGAAGCTTCCAGTTTGACACTAGTACCCATACTCACATGTAGGACTTGCACGCTCTCTCTGGAGATATCCTATAGAACTCTGTGTCTTTCCTTAATAAGTAACGTATTACTTAACTCAAGTAATCCAGTTTATTGACCCAGTTTGTGAAAAAGTTGTTGTGCTTGGAAAAACAGCTATTTATGCTGGTATTTTGAAAGTCCACTCCTCTTCAACACTTATCAGTTCCAGAACAGTTCATTTCAAATGAGATTCCCAGAATATGGCAAGTCTTTAAATATTAGACATCAACATACAAAAATTTTAAATGCATTTATTTATACAGGCAGTCCTCGACTTGCAATTCATATAGTGACTGTTCAAAGCTACAATGGGTCAGTGACTTATGACCTATAAAAGTGACCTATGACTGTTTTTCACACTTATGACCACTGCAGCGTTCCCATGGTCATGTGATCAAAATTTGGCCGCTTGGCAACTAGTTCATATTTATGACAACCTTTTGACAAGCAAAGTCAATGGAGAAGCCAGATTCACTTAACAACCGTGTTACTAGCTTAGTAACTGCAGTGATTCACTTGACAACTGTGTTAAGAAAGTTTGTAAAAAAAGAGCCATGGTGGCGCAGTGGTTAGAATGCAGTATTGCAGGCTAATTCAGCTGACTGCCAGCAGTTCAATTCTCCCCAGCTCAAGGTTGACTCAGTCATCCATCCTTCCAAGATCAGTAAAATGAGGACCCAGATTGTTGGAGGCAATAGGCTGACTCTGTAAACTGCTTAGAGAGTGCTGTAAAGCATGATGAAGCAGTATATAAGTCTAAGTGCTACTGCAAAAATAGGGCATAAATCACTTAACAAATGTCTGATTTAGCAACAGAAATGTTGGGCTCGGTTGTGGTAGTAAGTCAAGGACTACCTATATTACAAATTACTTATCCACATTTTTAAAATAAGCTAACAATATTTCTTTCTGCTTCCATTCTTAAACGAACACTCATGCTTTATGTTGGAAAATATAACCTATGGATATCTGAAAAAATATGGCCCATTTTCAGAATCCTACCCTTACTCTACCAAGTTTGCTTATTTTTGTTTTACATATAAAATACTGTTATACCATTTAAAAATTTGAGAATCTTTTAAATTGAGGATACTATTTCTATTATGTCAGTTTCAGTTTTTCTTCTGCACATTTATCAGTTTACACCTACACTAAAGCATGCTAATAAAAATCATCCATGAATAATCATAGATATACTATAGCTTCTGTCTTGCAAATGCTTGAGCACAATTCTTCAACAAAAGCAGAAATTTGAGATTCACCTTAGTAGCAATTTATTCAGTTAACTGAGGTAGTATTAGTTAAGGTGGAAAGTTTATTTTCCCTAAAAACACAATTCTAATCTAAGTTATTTTTCAATTAAATATGATGGAAGCTATCAATACTTTTTTTTAAACAAAGTTTATCTACTAATATTGTCAAGTTTCGAGGTCGTCTCAAATAAATTGCATTAGAGTAAATGCAGTTTGAAGTGCTGAAAAATATATTATTAGATAATATTATCTTATATTTGGGTTAATATACCATTAATGCAAATAGAATGTATATCCTGAAAAGGTACAGTATGTAATGAAATTTAAAAACTAGCCCCAGTATTTTACTTTTCATAATGGAGCCTCAATTTAGAAAGAGATAATGTTTCTTCCTCTTTTTTTAAAGGGTGGTTTGCAGCAGGTATAACAACATGTAGGGAATAATGCTAAGGATACATGTCTAGATGTTATAAATTAGGAATGTCAAAATCTCAAAGGATTAAATGTTGTAATGAAAGCTTTGATAAACTGAACAATAAATAAAAAGGAAAAACAAGGACATGATATAATATTAAGTCATTGCATGGATAAACTTTGCATCAAAAATTACCAGCACTACTTATGTTGTCAGCACTTTATACCTTTATGTAGTATTGCTCAGTCCAATACAGAAATGTTATTAGAAGAATAAGAATAAAATAATCTCATCACTGAACCATTTGGGAGCCTTCTTAAAAGACTCCCTTCTAACTTGTCATGATAATTCAAAGTACTCGATAAACGTTACAGCTTCTATACTGAACCTTATGCCTTAAAACAGGGATAGGAAGATAATAGTTCCCATATAGCTGAATTACAACTTTCAGCATCCTTCACTAGGGGCAATATTGATAGTGGATACAACAATGGAAAGGCTACAGGGTTCTTATCCCCAAGCCAAGTAAAACCCTCTATTTCAAAACAATGATGTACAGGCATAGAGATGCATGTATTACTTTAGACGAATAGGGATGAATATCATATGCCTGGTCTCATAAATTCTTCTAGATTCAAGGCACTGAAAAGTTAGTATAAAACATTCTGTAGGATTGTTCATGTATCTGTAGTTATCCTAATTAATTACTGAGTGATTGTTATTATATTTACCTCTCTTCCCACATAACCACTCTGTAATTTCTTCTGAACATTTCAATCATTTACTTTAAAGGTGAATACTGTTTATAGAGTTTAGCTAGAATTATCAGGGCAATGATATAATTATCATTCAAAATAAACTATCCAGAGTTTATGCAGGTTTATAACTATATTGTTTCTACACTTTCATTTTTGCTGGTAGCACAGGATAAATTTCCACATTTTGTCTACTTTTTCACATGTCCCAGAAATTAGAATTGAAGATGAGGCTTTCAAGAGGTAGCATTTGCAATAAGCTAAATTTGAAGCAGGCGTACGCCAATTTCCCCCCACTTTTATCTACTGATAACACAAAATTATTTCTTCTTCTTCTTCCTCCTATTCTTCTTCTTTTTTGAATAAAACTTTTGACTTTCTTTGCCCATTTGAAGAACTAGCCACCTAATCAAGTTGTTACCTAGTAGCTGAATTCTGAACCCTTCTTCTGAAGAGAAGCAGTTCTGTCCAGACAGATATATTGGTTTATTGTCTTGTTTATATAGACAAAGGAAAGTATATGTTTAAACTATTTGCTTAGAACCCCTTATTGAAGAAATTCAGAAAAATATGACAAATGCAAAAGAAGGAAATTGTATTTTTGATAATCTGTTTAGTTGGCTGCTATACATAAACAATGTATCCATCATTAATGTTTAATCCTTTCATTCATTAAAATACAAGGATGCATAAACAATATAAAAACTCTGAATACCTTTTATATCATGTAAACTAAAAATCCACTGATAAATATCCATATAAAAGGCAGGAAACCAAATGAGACGTAATGAACTGCTGTCATAAACTCTCTTCTGTTGTATCTATTATTCAGAGGACAGAGTTTATCTGCAGTTTAAAGGAGTATTTGAGCTACATATGGTGAATGAGTACTTGCTATAGCAGCCAGCAGTGGCAAGTCATTGGATTCAATCCTAGAAATAAAAATGAGAGAGTGTTAATATTTAAGGTACATAAAAGTTATTTAAGCATTCCAGTGAATTGGAACTGAGTAACACCATATTTAAAAAATAAGCCTTCCATTCTATATGTATTCACCTTCTTGAATATTATGAGTGTCTTTTCTTTAAAATATTACATTCACATTTTTATTGATCTGGGACCATAAATAATAAAGAAGATATTCACATTTAAATGTTCTAAGGCAGGGGTCCCCAACCCCCGGTCTACGATCCGTTGGGAACTAGGCCATGCAAGTGGCAGGATGCAAAGCCATCCCCTCCTCCCTTCCCTTCCTGCCACTGCTGGCCTGCAGAACCGGAAAGGTTTCAGGGCCACTGTTCTAAGGCTTTTCAAATGATATCTGTCAGAGTATGAATGTTCATAGACTGGAATAGACATGGTAACAGGTCAGCCAACAGGGACAGTCTGGAAACAGAAACCTACAAACAAACATATTTGTTTGTATGGGGCCATAAGAGACAGTTTGGAGTCTGGGCGTGTCTTAGACTTGCTGAACTGTATATAAGAGTTGGTTTGGCCTCTGTAATACTTGCCTCTGTACAATATATTAGCCTCTGTATCTCTCTATTCTGTAATGATTTGCTTCTATGAATATTTTTTCTGTATTCCTGATTTTGTATGCTGATTTCTGCTCTTTGGTATTGTATATAAAGTAGTTTCTTAGATATAAATTGAATCCTGCTGAATTGTCTGATTGTGTGAGCTACAACAAACTCTGACAATATCATTGATAATCTCTGTACCAATAATATAGTACAGAAGACATACTGGGGAAAAACAGAAATCATATTGACCCTTTAAACCAGGAACAGACATCTTGCAGCCCACTCCCAAACCACGGATTCTGTTTATGTTCTGTTGCCAAATTGTTTTTAATGTCCTTGGGAATTAAACTCACAGGCAGTGATCACAACAATTGTGCTCAATTAACTTATTACACTTTTAACTAAATTAAAAATAAATCAAGTTTAGGATTTATGTATGAGAGGAAGACTTCATGTTGATGAGAGAAAATACTGTTGATGTGGCCCAATACTGGGCTAATGTCATTTAGTTTTAATCCTGTTTATATGACATCCTTTTTACGCATGCTATACTTTTATAATCTCTTTTATATCTTATATCTTTTTATTTTATTTGCTCAATATTGAAGATTATATGTCTTTGAAAATGCTTCTGACATGAATGAAGCATTGATACTGGCACCACTCATTTTTTTATGGTGGTGATGGCGGCCTTCTGGGACACTATTTAAAGATCAAGTACATATAGGGCTTCCAAGTAAGGACTGAAGGCAAATTAAACATCCCTATGGGGGATGGGGAGCTCCATAAGTGGGAACGGCATTGTAGTGGAATTGCCAGACAGGTTCTGGCTGTCAAAAATCTCTTCAGAGGAAGAAGAGACCATTGGAATTTAATTTAATTTAATTAATTCAATGTATATGCCACCCCTCTCCGAAGACTCAGGGTAGCTCACAATACATTTTAAAAAATCATTATAAAAAACATTTAAAACTTAAAAACATTAAAAACATTAAAAACTCATTCACGCCATTCATGGCTGGATCTCACCAGATCACAAGAGCGAGATCAACGGCCCCAGGCCTGCCGGAAAAGCCAGGTCTTCACCGCTTTTCGGAAGGCCAATAGGGTGGGGATGGTCCGGACCTCAGGAGGTAACTGGTTCCAGAGAGCTGGGGCAGCCACAGAGAAAGCCCTCCCCTGCGGCATTGTTTAGCTGACAGGACCCGGAGGAGACCAACTCTGTGGGATCTTACTGGTCGCTGGGAGCTATGCGGCAGGAATCACCTATTTGTGCTCTGAAAGAGCTGCTCCGGGTGAGGAGATCACAGGAGTTCAGCTACTTGTGGTCAATAGCAAGTTGAGCAGCTTGGGAGTCGAGGGGTTTACAAGTTCTGTGCAGCCTTAATGGAATTTGATTGGCAAAAGTCTTACTTAAACACCTTTAAATTTAATTACTTTATAACCTAAGAAAAATATTCCAAACAGCAGTAAAAATCAAAGATTCATGGTGAATACATTTTTTTTTTAGATTTGAAGAGGAGGAAAAGTTATTTTAAATAATTTTAACTTAAAAGTAAAAAGCTTAGCAAAACTATGATCCAAGAAAAATTTAAAGACATAACGGGAACATGATGTAAAAAAACTCCCAGAAGAAAAACTTTTTCTTGTGAAAATGTCTTTAAAATAGCAATAGCAATTAGCCAACAGACTGGATCTTTGTGGGAATGCTGACAGGTTATTAAGGATAGTACAAGTAGTCCTCAATTTATGACCACAACTGGAACCAGATTATTGGTCATTGAACAAAGCAGTCATGAGACACCCAGGTAACTGCTTTGCCAAATGACTGCAATCCCATCTCTCCCAGCTGCAGTCATTGAATGATTGCATGTCATTAAAGGAGGCGGAGTAAGAGTGCTTGCTAAAAGAGGGAAGGCAGCACTCTTCTGTGTGCAGAAGGACCTCTTGTGGTGGGCTGTAGAAATTAAGCCCAGATTTTGGGGATTCAAACTTCATTTCTGCAGCCCCTTGGTGGAGTTTCCCTTGTCTGTGCATGGAAGGGAATATATGCACTGGGCTGGAGAAACATTCCTTGCTTCATTTCTGCAGCCCAATGTAGGAATTCCTCTGCTCTTCATGTGCAGCAGGAAATTCAGGTGCTTGGCTGGAAGAAAACAAACAGGGATCCTGAAAATCATCTTTTCTGTAGCCTGACAAAGGATTTCTACCACCCCCAATACATGGAAGGGAAGGAAAATTCTTTGGTAGGTAGCAGCAGTTTGTAATCTTCCCTGTCAGGAGGAAATCCTGAAGATTAATTGTTGATCCTCTATTGTATTGAAAACACCTTGTTAGTAACCATGATTAAAATCATTCCTCCAAGATGCTCTTAGGGCAGGGATGGGCAAATGTGGCCCTTTTACAACCTGTGGAATTCAACTCCCAGAATTCCTGAGACAGCTTCTGGGAGTTGAAGTCCACAGATTGTAAAAGGGCCACAGGCAAGGAAAAGAACATCCTCCCCTTTTTAATTTTAACTGTTCAGAAATAAAAATGCAGCAATTATTACTTCAGGTCAAGAATATAATTCTATCTGATTAATATTACACTACACCTACATCTCCTGACTTGCTTAAAATAAGATATCCTGATCTTAAATGCAGAAATAATTATAATCGATACATTTCTCCTTCTCAATCCATTTTTTTAATTTTTATATTTTAATTGGTTAGACTTATTGCCTTGCATGAACAGTATTGACCAATATGTTTATTACAAATAATGGGATCCCTCTGGTGGTTATGAGCTTTCAGATTAATAGTCTGTGATCTAATTATTTGGTTTTATGATGTTTTGCCAACAATTGTGGTTGACATCTTCAGAGCTGAAAGTCACCTGTTCTGCAGTAGACTTGTTGGCAATTCTCACACAACTCCTTCCTCAATTCAATATTGACAGAGTACTCTACATGTGAGAGAGTCCTTGAGAGCATCTGGCTTTTAAAATTTCATTTTGTTCAGAAAGTAAAGGACGACTATAAATTTCATTTAATATAACAGCTCAGTTTCATTTACAGATGGTCAATGCAATACACACACACACTGTACTTTTCACAGAAAACCTGGCACAAGATAAAAACCATCCATCTTGAATATTGAGTGAGAGATGAGTAAAAAGAACAGCCTTAGGTTTTAACTTTAGCAGCACTCACCCCAATACCACACCAAGCTCTTTCACATGAACTCTTGTTTGTCCTCGCAAATATTTAGATAGCATTGTGCTTTTATGGTACATTTCCTGTAGGCGATCCTCAAGGTGCATTATACACTGTAAGTGGAAGGAGAAACCCAGAGAGATAAAATCAAATAGTTTATAATAGATAAAATGTGCAACTTATAAATGTAAATATATATATATACTTTGTTGAGTATTTTATTGATTTAGAGGACGGGTGTCAAACTCGTGGTGTCACTTTGCCGTAACGTTTCACAATGTTTTTCCCCTTCATGGGGCTGGGGTAGGTGTGGCCTGAACGTGACGCATCCGGCCTGTGGGCTGCCAGTTTGACACTTCTGATTTAGGCGAACAAGCTTCTAATGAAGCCAAGATTAATCAAGTACTGCCTAAGCCTCCTAAGAATATGTCGACTCACATGCCCCAACATGTGAGGGTTCCTTCTTTTCAATCTTGTCATCTTCTAGGACCCAAGGAGGGTATGCTTTTTCAGTGATTGCCCCATTCTCTGGAATGATCTCTCCCCCGTTCTCCCCCCGCACACACATACACATATACAACAGACCCCGATACTTCTAGCCTTTAGGAAAGTCATTAAGGTCTGGCTCTTCCCCCAAGCATTCAGGGCCAATTGAAAGAGAGTCCCTCCTTTTGGTTGTTATGTGCGTGTCATCATTTTATCGTTATATACTGTAATGGCTTATTGTTACATAGTGAGTTTTTTCTTTTTTGATCTATTGTGGGAGGTTTTTATGCTTTATGCTGTCTAGTCACATTGTTTTGGATGGATGGACAGACGAATGAATGAATTTGAGACAATATAAGTGGGTGAAACTATTTTCCTTTTATCTGGTAAAGGTAAAGGTTCCCCTTGCACATATGTGCTAGTCGTTCCCGACTCTAGGGGGCGGTGCTCATCTCTGTTTCAAAGCCGAAGAGCCAGCGCTGTCCGAAGACGTCTCCGTGGTCATGTGGCCGGCATGACTAAATGCCAAAGGCTCACGGAACGCTGTTATCTTCCCACCAAAGGTGGTCCCTATTTTTCTGCTTGCATTTTTTACATGCTTTCGAACTGCTAGATTGGCAAAAGCTGGGAAAAGTAACGGGAGCTCATCCTGTTATGCGGCACTAGGGATTCAAACCACTGAACTGCCAACCTTTCGATTGACAAGCTCAGCATCTTAGCCACTGTGCCACCGCATCCCTTGTATTTTATATCATAGCTTATATGATATAAAAGATCTGGTCACTCTCGGCCAGATTAGAAAAACAGGATTACAGTCATAAAACTTCCTGAAGAACAGTCATCAATTCTTCACAATTGCCAAGGTGAACCTTTAGATTAACATAGTTAACATGTAGGAAAAGAAAGCATTAGTCACCACAGTGCCTCGTCTAAGTCTGAAAATCAACGTAGAAATACATGCAGTTCAAAAATCTGGATCACATCTTATCTTTCCTCTTTATATTTATTGTACACAGGTGCTTGTAAATGAATACTTACAAAGTCAGCAGAAAGATTAAGCTTGTAAAGTTGTAAAACAGACTGCAATAAAGATGATACTAGGCTGGAGACGAGAACATCTTTGCCTAGTTTTACGTTGTCAGTCATCTTTTTCTGGCTAGTAGCCATCTGAACTGTCCATTTATCAGTATCTGCTATAATGTAAACAGCTTCTGCTATAGATTCATCTAGTACAGGATGCTGTAAAACACACATAATGAAACAAAGTGAAACAAGACATTTTATTTAGTTAAAACATGTATGCAGCTGCCATCTTATGTCAAAATCTGGATGGCTCCCATTTTTTTTAAAAAAAATGCTCTGTATTATTTTGAATTCAAACTTAAGAATAAAACCTGCATTCTATCTAGCACAATAGAAGAAACATTTGGCAGCCTGTAAATATACTTAATTAGTCAGCTGTTATCTACCGTTTCTGGAAGAAATGTGCTCACAGCCAAATGAAGTGATAAGCTTGAGAGTAATTTATTCAATGATAAACCTCTATTGCCTAATAATAGATTAATATAGAAATATGCTTTTAAAATCACCTTTTCAGATGTATTTTGTGCTAGAATGTTTACTTGTTTCAGTGCACATATTAGATGCAGATACAAACAGGGGCCTTCCATTAAGCTACACAGGGCTGGAAATCTGTATGTATATGTAGTGATTTCTGGACCAGGAACTTAAGATGACTGAAAGGCAAGGCAGACATACTACATCTAGGAGAATTCCTCCTCCAAATTAATTTTTGGAATCTGAAGGAGGTTAATCTTCATTATTTGTTGCCAGTTATAAGGCAAATACTTTTTGCAAGGTCACAAAGAAAGACCTTAAGGCAAGTAACTTCACTAGGTTTGTTCCCAGCCTAAAAATATACTTCCTTTCTCAGAGATGAACATTTGATATTGACTAGACCTATTTTGTATCAGGTGGTTGAATAATTTAATTGTATAATTTAAGAAATATTTTATTTATTCATTCATGAAATTTATAGACTGCTCAATGCATCACAACTCCGGTGGTTTACAAAATAAAATGACACAAACAACAATATACATAACCTAAAAAAAACCCACCACCGTTCAATAAACCATAAATAAGAGTGGGTCTGTGTAACCCACTCTAATCCACGGTCTGAAGGAACAGCCAAGCTTTAAGGAACCATTTAAATAAGATCAAGATGAGAGCCATAAAAATCTCATGAGAAATGGTGTTCCAGAGTCAGGTGCCTTGACAAAGCAGGCACACTTCCTGTGCCCCAGAAGATGACCCTGTTTAATCAATGGAACCCAGAGGATGCCAACTGTAATCAGAAGGTATGGCATGGATAAGAACTACTGAAGACAGCAGCCCCTCAAAAAACAAGGCTTATTCCATGAAGGATTTTAAGGTGATAATCAGCACCTTGAATTGTATTAATCGAATTGAACCAGCACTTCAAAAAGCAGAGCTGTTACATGAGCATACCATGGCACAGTTATAATTGTCTATGCTTTCTGTGTTCCAAACTGCTGCAGCTTCTGTGTGATCTTTAAGCCTTACATAGAGTGAATTATAAGATTTACAATAAGATTTACAATTATAATGAAATGACTGCAAGAAAACAACCAAACTCAGAGAGCACCAAGGACTCCTGAATTATAAGAATATGATGTAATCAGAAGAATATGATGTAATCAGAGTGTAACTATTTTTCTATCTACAAATAGTAAAATTACAACGGAACATTACTAATGAAACAAAATCAGTAAGTTTTCCCTTCCTGTTCGAAACATTATTATTAAAGCTTTGCACAGAAATGGACAGACTTACATTTATGGTGTGACTCAACTCAGTGGATAAATGTTGCTTAAGTTGTTCATCAGAACTTATTCCATGCAGCACAAGATCAGGCATAAAAGAGGTACAATAGCCCCCAAGAAGTGACCTTCCAAAATGTATCATGCTTTGAGAGCTAACTGTGCAAAATCTGAAAATCAAGAATTTACTGTTTACTGAACACATCTCAGGGCCTTACAAAAAATAATCAATATGTGCAGCTAAATTGGCAAGACTGTAACATGATCTGAATGGTTGACCTTATGATCTGCTTTGTTTTTCAAGATTGCAGCTCAAGAATGATGAAAAAAATACCATTCACTCTGATATATAAATGTAAGAGTTATTCTTTAGTTTGCAAAGTTCTATAACATATTACTGAATCTTTCTCACAGAAAACTGAACAGAATTTAATAGAATTCTACAAGTTTACAATCAAACAATGACTCCAAAGTTCAGACAAATCCAGCGTACATGGATCACCATAACTATAAACAGTAACAATCTGTGTATATTCCACAGTAAGTAATTCCATTGTAAATTAGATTTGATCATAGTAGTAAATTCAAAGATCTGTATATTTCATGTGAGACCATGGTCCCTTGCTAACTACCTGAAAGGTTCATCCTCTATCTTCTTTTCAGAAAAAGGTAATGATTTAATACAATTAGACAAATTTCACACAATGCATAATGCATCCCATTACAATTACATATTTTCAAATATATTTCAGTTTCTGAGTTAGTAACAGTATAATTTCTCTATCTACCTTCATAGCCTATTAAATAGGCCATAAATCCAGGAAACATATCCCCATTTTTATAGTGAAATTTTTTAACTGGATCATTTGAGAGCATTAACAAAAAAATGCAAAAATGTAATATAAAAACATCTATTTGAAACATATTTGGGAAAGACGTTAACAATGTAATGGAACACACACACCCCCCAAACACACATATGAACATACACAATTACAAACGAACAGACTGGCTTATCATATTAGTATTTTTTGGGGGGGTCAGACAATTTACATTCAGACAGCAAATCTTACATATAGTATACAAGTAGTCCTTGACTTACAACAGTTCATTTAGTGACCATTCGAAGTTACAAAATGAAAAAAAGCTACATATGACCGTTTTTCACATTTATGACCATTGCCGCATCCCCACATTATCAAAATTTAGATGCTTGGTAACTGACTCATATTTATGACGATTGCAGTGTACAGAGGTCACGTGATCACCTTTTGTGACCTTCTGAGAAGCAAACTCAATGGGGAAGCCAGATTCGTTTAACAACCATGTTACTAACTTAACAGCTGCAGTGATTCACTTAAAAAATGTGGCAAGAAAAGTCATAAAATGGGGCAAAACTCACTTAATAAATGTCTCAATTTACAACTATAATTTTGGGCTTAATTGTAGTCATAAATTGAGAAATACCTGTAACAATAAATTAAAACAAATTTTAAATTACTTAACATTATTTTAATAACAAAAACAAGCGTGTATCAGTAAACTACATATACTTCCTAACAGTTTGATGGAATCATTATGTTGGCTTAAAGCCTTTTCAGATTAGACATATTAGTTTGGGCTGATTATGATGAGTGTCCTTGGGATAAAACTGAGCTTTGGTTACACTTCAGCCTACTAGTCAAAATGTACTAAGCTGACTAATACTGGCCTTACCATTATGTGCAAGTGCTGCATGTGATACAGACAAAGAAGGCTGGTCTATACTTTCAGTTACTACAAAGTATTTTTTGATAACCTCAATGACCAAAGCCATGAAGTACCAATAGTATCTGTTGAAATTCAGTGCATATGGAAGATTGGATTGTGAAAAATTAGTAACATATGGGAATTAATAAATGAAACGCAAGAAGAAAAAACAAGTATAAATTTTCATATAGTGTATGAGAATAAAATAAAATGTAATCACAACAAATTAAAGTAGAGTAATAAAGCTGATAAATACATGCAGGGACATGATGGTGTAGATTTAATTGTAAATGAAAAGTTTAAATGTATGTCAGAAAACATAAATGGATATCCTGGCCATCACAGGTAGGTATGAAAATAGGAAATCATAGATAACAATTGAAAATTGATCAACATTTTAAAATTAACGAATTAACATTGCTGAAATAGGTAGAAATATCTAGGTATACGAGTGTTATCTGTTATTAGGGAGTGATGGTTGGGTATGTCAGGAGAAACATTAAAGTCAGTTGAATATAGGGTGAAGAGGATACTTATACAATGTGTGTGATAGTACAAGGGGTAGTCAAGAACACTTGGGAGCTGAATATATGTGGATCAAATAAAAAAGTGAGTGGCCAGTAAGAAAAAAGCATGTTGATCTGTTTGGATGGACGGACGGACAGACAGACAGACAGACACTGTAGATATAATGAACATATGAATAAATATATGAAAGAGAATTAAATGTGTCATGAGGAAAGAGAAAGAAGTGAATAATTGAATAAAGAAAATGCAATTATTAATTTGTATAAGAATTTACTGGAAGCAAAGATACAGAATATGGTGAATTATATTGGTATAAAACAGTCTTAGCAATTTTCTTCATGCCTTTGAATTCTTTGGCTTACTATTTGTTCCTTCTTTTTTGCACTTGATATAATGTTTCTTTTCCAGAAAGAAAATAACACAATGGGATAGCATATATGTAAAAGTAACAACAATAAGCATACAGTTTCTCATGTTATAAACATTAGTGCATATTAAAAACTGTCACTATATTACTCAGGAAATGCACCTTTCCGCACCTTAAGATTTAAGCCTAAAATTCCATTGTTTTGGCTAAGAATCAGTTGGATCAGGTGGGGATGATGAAAAAACAGGTTACACCTCACTACCCGTGTCTCTCAGAACAGTGCAAGAAACAAAAACTAAAACAACCCTCAGTAGTTCTGATTATTATTTTTTTCTTTACCTTGGCAAAGCAAGTTCCACTTCTAAAAATTCTTCAGGTCTACAGTTAACAGTGACTGACTGCTCATCTGGAATGTACGTGCAACCTTCATCATCACTGTCCCCAAGAGCGCTATCAGAACTTTCGTTTCTAGGAATGTTCTCCTCCATTTTACAATGGAGTTTGCTTTCAACCTCCCCACAGGGGATGTTCTTAGTAACTGCTCGGCCAGACCTCTGTACATCAGTAGAACTTCCTGAATCACAGTCAAGAGAATTTCTCTCAAAGTTTTCACAGCTTCTACTATAAACTTGATCTAGTTTTCCCAGGTTTACCATTCTGACTTCTCTATCAAGAATGACAGACTGTGGAACTGGTAGCAGCCAAGGTGCCCTTGGCATTTCTGATTCCCTAACTTTCTGGCTAGTGCAGGTTTTAAGACGTAAGTCAGATTTCTCTTGTGGGGCCCTGGATGTTATATGTAATGGGCTTGATAGAGCACATAGAGATTTAGTTTTACTTCTGCGTTTCTCCAAAGTTTTGTTTACTTCCATTCTTTGGGTTTCGGAATCAGATTCTGGTGAGGTGGAGCTTCCAATCTGAAAGGTAACCTTTTCCAGTTGAGAATACGCCTGGGCAATCTTCTTAGAATGTGGAACAGCTGTCAAGTTTTGAAACAACTGCCCTGTTACACTGTGCTGCTTGTCCTCATTCATTCTTGCGGTTAAATTCTCTAATATACCATGCCTTCCACATGTAGTTTCTGAATTAACTAAACTTTTCCCTTTCTTAATTTCTCCTAAAATTCCTTTTGGAGAGCTAACTTTGGAGAAGTGTGGGGATGCTTCAGAACTGCCCTCAGCATTCAGCCTCTCATGCTTGCCCTTGAAGCAGCCAGATTCAAAGCAGCATTCATGTTCCGCAGCAACAACAGCAGCAGCATCATTCTTTCGAGGCAGGGCAGGAGGTACAAGAGCAGGTTCGTTTTGAACTGTGACAACCACATAATCAGATTCTTCAACTTCTCCTTTTTCTAGAGTTGTTATAATTTTCCTGCCACTCACAGCTTGCTCTCCTTTGTCAAGTTGCCTATTCCAGATGAGATGATTCTCTTGCAACTCAGAGCACCGTAAGAAATATGTAAGAACATACAGAATGCGCTGAACAAAATCCTTACGTTTTCCAACAATTACTGTCCTTGTCATTCTGACTGGTGAACCTACAGCACCATATAAATCACCTAAATAAGCACAGTGAGCAAAGAAAAAAAATTAAAAAATTAATATACGTCAAAGACCAATGCCAAATATCTAATCTATTTGTTTAACCTAACTACAAAAAGAATGAAAGCACTAAGATATTATTATTTCACCTTAAATGATAAACCTACATCTCAGTAAAAAAATCCACTTTAGTAACTCAATTTTATAATACTTATTTCAGTAGAGGAAGATTAACACTCAACAGAATTTAATTTACTAAAAATATTTTTTTGCCAAATTATGCAAAGAACTCCAATTCAAAAAAAAATATATCTGAAAATGCATATCTCACAGATATAGCAACTAGATGAGACAACTAAAATCTATTGTCAGCATATCTATTATGGTAGCATAATAACTACTGCTAAAACAATCTTCTGATTTAAATACTAATAGCATAACTGTAAAATTGAGTTCTGGAAGATCTGAACAAGTCTATCTAGAAATGTTGAAGATGAAATATAATGACTGGATGCCCCACATTTAATTTTTGCACAAAAACATCCCTTTACTCTACTTCTATAAGCATAAGAATTGAATGTCTACTCCAGATTGGGGGAGAGAGAAAGTGATGTGACTTCCAATTTAGGATCCAGAATGATTTAATGTATATGTCACAATGCTTTTACTGGGCTCTGAGATAAAGTATTATTATAAACCATGGCACTTAAGTGATTCAGATTATGTGTTTCATGACAATGTTTTTGCATTTATGTTTCATTAATAAGAATGTCAAAAGAGAATTAAATCCAATTTTGTAGAGTGCAAGCTATTTAGTAACCGCTAGAGGGCATGCATCATGATAGTAACAATGTGACTCACAAGACAAACCTAGTTTAATAATTTTCTAATTGGAAGGAAAAAGTCATTATATTTGATACTAGATATTTGAATCTTGTTTACAAAAAAAGTCTGGAAAAAGTAATTTTTAATTGCTCAGTGGAATTTTGAATGATCTTCTGGAATATCATCTATAATAATCATTTATTACAGGTACGTGCATTATCTACTTTAAAGGGATTTATTTATTTATTTATTATTAAATTTATTGGCCTCCTATCTTACTACAGGGTAATTTTTGATTATCAAACCAAAAAGGCAGCGCTTTCTATCAGAATTTGATTAAAAGCCCTGGATGTATGTATGTTCTTATGGTTGAGCTATTTATTTTTAATGTTGCCTCCTGTCATGAACATTTCATGGATTTTTAACTGCTGGAAATCCCACAGGATTTGGTGGCATAACAACTTAAAATAAATCAACATTTGTGCATATGAGCACATTTCTTTCCAGAAAAAAAATCTTCCATGCCTAAAGAGTCATCTCGAATTTAGATATGAATTTTTTGTACTGACCAAGCTGTGCCCAAAGTGGATTGTAGGGATGTGATTTTGCCAGCATGTTCACAGATGGTGAGGCATGTTTCTCAGAGAAAACCCTGATGGAGAGATGATCAACTGGCATCACAGTAGGGACCCAGGCCAAGTGATAAGTTAACACTGCTGTTAATAGAGCAGCAAAAAACCTATAAAAATAAGTAGCAACAGAAACAAAATTATATCTCTGCAATAAACCTCCCATTCAAACTAGAGAGCAACACAAAACAAGATTACTCACTGGTTTTTGCTGCTCTGTTCTATCAAAACAGCAAATTCCTTGAGAAAGTGTTGGCATAACAGATTCTTTTCTGAAGCACAGGACATAATAGTAAGCCACACAGGTTCTGCAATCCTTGGAACTGTGTATAAATTCCGTATTGTAGTTCTACCAAAAGAAAAGGACGTTAGCTTTAACAAGAGGAAATGGTTCAAATATAAAAATATTTTGCCCATAATGGGGAGAACAAGCAAAACTGCTGCTTCTTCCTCTTAATTTATTCACTCTTCCTTTCTTTATGTATTTTTCAATTTATCCTCATTCATTCTCTATGTATAACCAAAATAGCTCAATGTACTTCTTTCATACCAGCCACTCACTTTTCAAGTTTTATATTTACTTGCTAATTTGACTGAAGTTTGACATTCTTGCCAAATAAATGACATTCTTGCCAAATTTTTGCATTTCTTTCAATTCTAGCAGCTTCCCACATTGTACTAGAGATATATTTTGCTCAGCAGGGTAGAGACACAAATTGATCTGATGGTTTTGGAGATCCAGCAGTGCAAGTCTGAAAGCAGTCTTTGGGCCAGTTAATATTTCTCAGGTCTATCTACCACAAAAAGTAGTTGCTGAATGGAAAAATAGGCAGTGCTGTGGATGTTGCCCGGAGCTCCTGAAGAAAAGGTGGGATATAAATTGTTAATGGTAATTAGATGACCTATGACCCATTGGGTCGTAGTTTCAGAGACATTTCCTTGGCAAATTCCTCAACAGTGGCAGAGCTTCTAATGTACTGCCTTCACTGCAAAATTCAGAGAGATATTCAGAGAAATATCGCCCTGGAAAATAACCCACGTTAAACTACTGTATATAGCATGGTGAAAAATCAGGAACTGACTATAGGAAATGTTTTATGGAAGTTTGTATTGTGTGATGAAATGTTTTATGATAATATTTAGGTTACAAAATGTTTTATAAAATTTCAACTCCACAGAACTGACAGGATTTTGAACACATTCTGTAAGTTACCCATTTGAGATACTTTGGTTCAAAAATTGTTGTTCTATAATGCATCATTTTTGCCCAGTGAAAGGTTACACACACACAAACAGGAGAGTTTTAGTAACTGAGGTTTTCGCGGGTGTTTGTATGTAGGTTTTTGGTTATTCAGGTTTTCTCCCGCTTAAAATTGGAAGTGTCTTGGCGACGTTTCGGCGAAGTCTCATTCGTCATCTTCAGGCTGGTGTCCAATTTTACGCAGGAGAAACCCGAATAACCAAAAACCTACCTACCTACCTACCTACCTACATAATTAAAATTACATTTACAACAGTAACAACTAATACAATGGAAAAAAATAAAAATAAAAATTAGAACGTGGAGATAAATAAAAAATAGAAAAGAAAAATATAGTAAAGAAAAAATATAAAAAGAAGTGACCTTTGTCCTTCATTACAAGTATAAATAATTTTATTAATTTATCACCTTCTCTTTAAATACAAATGATCTTTTCTTCCCCGTCATATCTATGATCTAATAAATGAATCCTTAAAACCTCTTGTTTTAGTCCTAATCATTTAAAGACCAATAAAGGTTATCAAAGAGAATAACATATCTACTTAAACCTTGATTAAATAATCCAATTATATATTCCTTTCTTTTACCGAGGTGGGGCAGTGGTTAGAATGCAGTACTGCAGGCTACTTCAACTGACTGCTAGCTGCAGTTCAGCAGTTCAAATCTCATCGGTTCAAGGTTGACTCAGCCTTCCATCCTTCCAAGGTGGGTAAAATGAGGATCCAGATTGTTGGGGGCAATATGCTGACTCTGTAAACTACTTAGAGAGGGCTGTAAAAGCACTATGAAGCGGTATACAAGTCTAAGTGCTATTGCTATTGCTACTTCTAATTATCTTGACCTTTATTTCCTCCAAACTATTTATTTAAATATGTCCTAGAACTTGATTTTTCACTTTTTCTCTGTCTCTGCTCACAAATTCTTCAAAACGTTTAACAAACCTGTAAATCCAATGTACAAAAACTATCCAGGTTATTCTCTTAGTTTGTTATTTATCCTTTTTAATTATAAAAAACATCAGCCAGTTTCTTTTCTATGTGCAGTGCAACATATTTCCATGTCATTCTTATAGCTTGACATTTTCAAATCAGTTTCGATCTTGTCAGGTAAAACTTGTTCGTCTTCCATAATATCTTTTAAATACATTCTATCTCACACACTCTTAGAATTAACTTCTGGATCCACTGTTCACAAATATTCTTCAATATTCTTCACTCTGTAATTGTAAATTGAGTTGGAGTGTTCTCCTTTAATTGTAATCTTTAATTCATTCTAATTCTCTCTAGTTTCCAATTTTTATCTTTTATTTTTTTAAAAATCAAAACATTTTCTTATGGAAAGGATACTTTATAATTAATTAATGATCATCCAGTCAAAGCTGAAGAAGCTTTTTGGATGAGAATCAAAATGTTTTCAAAGAAAAAAACAGAAAGTCCAGTTGCCTCTTGGGAAAAAAAGCACCTTTGGGATGCTTCTGAAGAATTGGAAATCTAATATTTAGTCACAAATGCTACAGGCTTCTATTTTATACAACTATGTACCATTGATTTCTGGGATCAGAATGGCCTAACTGAGGGCTTAGAGCATGAATCTTGGGAAATTCTGGAAGCTGAAATCCACACATCCTAAAATTGTCAATTTTGAAAACAATGGCTTAAAATATATAAAGTCAAGAAAAAATGTTGATAGTGATCCCTTGACACTGAAGCATTTATCATAGTATAAATACATAATGAAGATACTTAATATAATCAACCAATAAACATATATTTAAAGAACAGCAGCTTTAAGTCTTACTTAAAAAAATTCTATCCAATTTGTTAGGGTTAGAGGTATGCTTCAGATTAAATTTAGATTTGGGTCTGCACACATAGCATCAGAGGAAATAGGAGCATCTCACAGACTCCAAAAAGGCTAAACAGAATTGGACCTCACTAATACCTGGATGGGAAACCATTACAAAATCCCAGGCATATTGGAAAGTAGCGATAAAGGTGGCAATGGCAAACTACTTCTGTATTGCCACAAAGTAAATGGCATGAAATGTCCATGAAATTATCAGGATTGAAGTCAACAAGGCAGATTTGCTTTTTAAAAACTATTCTATCATGATATATTATAAAGTTATGGATGCTCTACTATGGGTAAAGGCTGATATTTAATAACCAGTTCTGAGAATTCCATTGCCACTGCACCATTTGTTGCAAAAAAAAATTGCATACTAGATATTGGGGCTCAGCTTTGCTTTTAATACCTAAAACTTTAACAATCAGCCAATACTCCAGAATACCACTGGATGAAGGATTATGTTTCTGAATTTCAGGTGCATGATGTGTGTATTTAAAGAACAGAAATGACATCACCATCCCATAAATCACAAACTGTCTTTTGCCTCTTTCAGAAAGTAATGTTGCATACAAGGTCATTTCTAGCATAACTTAGCCTGAAGGATCTGAAGAAAAAGAGAAGGAGGAGGTCAACAAATAAAAGTAGGAATTCTCTATTTATTATTGACTTTTTACAGAAATCAAGTTTGAAACATTTTCATCTTTAGTACCTGCACTTTAGATGTTTAGTTTTGAGTGAGGGAGATTCAAATTATCTCCATTAAAATCTACATGAATATACAGTTAGTCCTCTACTTACAACAGTTCATGTAGTGATTGTTCAAAGTTACAGCAGCATTGAAAAAAGTGACTTATGATGGTTTTTCACATTTACAAATGTTATAGCGTCCCCAGAATCACGTGATCAAAATTCAGATTCTTGGCAACTGCCATATATTCATGATGGTTGCAGTGTCCTGGGGGTCATGTGATCACCTTTTGTGACCTTCTGACAAGCAAAGTCAATGGGGAGTCCTGATTCACTTAACAACCATGTTATTAATTTAACAACTGCAGTGATTCATTTAACAACTGTGGCAAGAAAGGCCGTAAAATGGAGAAAAATTCACTTAACAACTGTCTTGCTCAGCAACAGAAATTTTGATCTCAATTGTGGTTATAAGTCGAGGACCATCTGAAGGTTAGTGCAAGGACAAAAGTAAAAAAAAAAAGAAAGAACAGGATCTGAGTTGTGAAATAGATGAATCTTAAGAACAGATGCATATCTTGTCCGTCCCAATAAAATTTGACATAACAGTAACTCACCTAAATTCATCCAGTGCATCCATAATACGGCTAATGTAAACTTGCACTCTTTGGTTTGTTTCTGCTATTTTTCTACATGTGATCATAGCCTTAGGGGGAAAAATAAGAATGGGTTAAAAATGAATGCAGAGCTGATCCTTTCGGGATGCATATTGAAAAGCTTAGAACCAAACTTGAGATACAGGTTTTTATAATTTCTTCTTTCTAGCATTTGCCTACAAAGAAAAGAATTCTATAGAATAGTATGTGCGACCTAAACTTTCAGTTAAAATGATTTTTTAAAAAAATTCTAGAGCCCTTTTGAATCAGAAAGTACTGTATTCAAAAACTGGAGAAGTAGGCTACCCCCCAAAATAATAATAAAAAAAAAACCTTAGAAAATTTCAGCCCTGCCCAAGAATATGATACAGCCTCAACTAGTCTGCATCGTTCCCATCTCAGTATAGCCTTTAGGTCCTTCCACTCCAGTAAAAGGAAAAAAGTCAAGTAAAACATTTGCCACCTAAAAGTGGACAATGAGTATATGCATTGAAAACTATTTATTTATTTATTACATGTATTTATATGCTGCCATTCTCCCGAAGGACTCAGGACAACGAACACAAGTTAAGAAACAAGTACAATAAAATCATAATTTAATCCAAATAATTAATTACTAGTAAATAATAAAGCCCGGAATCAGTCTCAGCCTATTTGTTTGAAAAGCCAAGTCTTCAAGTCCCGACGGAAGGAGCGGAGATCAGGAGCTGTCCGGAGCTCAGTAGGTAATTCATTCCAGAGGGTGGGAGCACCCACAGAGAATGCCCTACCCCTGGGCACAGCAAGGTGACATTGGCTCGCCGTCGGAACCCTGAGGAGAGCAGCCCTATGTGAGCGAATGGGATGGTGAGAGGCAGGCAGGAAAAAAAACTATGTTCAGGAATAGCTACCACATGCCATGCACTCAAATAAAAAGGCTTTAAATGAAGTAGGCCTTATTTATAAGTGAGGAGGAATACTGGGTGTAAATTAAACCTCCTTCAGATTTATTACCTGTATCAGCAGACCCCAACTTTTTTGATACCAGGGACCAATTTCGTGGAAGACAATTTTTCTATGGGTGGAGGCAATCTATATCCTGTGAATGCACACTTTCGCTCACCCATTACTCATCTTCAGCTCTGTGGCCTGGTTCTTAACAGAACACAGACTGGTACTGGTCTGTAATCCAGACCTATATATATATTGTATCAAAGCACAGGAAAGGGCTATGTCATTAGCCCAGCCCAGGCATGATTCAATGTCCTGTTTTTAATGGCCACAAGTACAATGCACCTATCTAGAACAAATGTTTTGTAAAGCTATTAATTTCTAATCTAGAAATTTACTTGCATAGGGATCATATTGAGGGATATGCATGTACAGCTAATTCTACATGCAAACCCTTCTGTCGGCCATTTGGACTATATTCACAGCATTCAGGAAGTACAGGAGAAACAGACACTGAAATTCTTAGAAAGATAACAGGTTTTGGTAATTTAGCATGTAAAATTCTGAAGAAGAATTGAGTTACAGAATTCCTAGATATAACCTAATACAGAGGTCTCCAACCTTGGCAACTTTAAGCTGGCTGGGGAATTCTGGGAGTTGAAGTCCTCCAGGCTTAAAGCTGCCAAGGTTGGAGACCCCTGACCTAATATATATATAACATATATATATCATTCTTACCCACTTAGAGGTTGTAAGCATAGAAACTAAATTTGTTCACTGCTTTACCATTTCAGTTGCACTTTTAAGCTTGCCCATATGTGATTCAAACAAGGGGAAATGAGAGAAGAAGAAATCCTGGAAATTTCTCTGGGCCTCTTCTTTCTCAGGAAGGGTGAAAATGATGCTGATGGCAATTTTCTTCCTTCGAATCAGTGCAGGATTGAGGCCACAACTTTCATCTGCCATGCTGAATGTTTCTTCAATTGACCTATTGGAGAAAAAGGTTGCACTATATGTTCAGCTACTAGCAAATGCCTGAAGTGTTTTAATCGATGCATAGTGAGATGATACCCTCAAAGAATTCCATTCAGTCAAACAGAACCAGGTCTTGATAAGCCATTATTTGTCTAGATCTGATTCATTCAATCAGATTTTCTTTATTGATTCACCAATAAAGAAGAACCATAAAGACTAGGTTCCACATATATTAAGCCAAAACTAAACAACTCATAGTGTAGCTTAGAGAAGCATGAACCTAGCTGGAACTCTCTTAGCCCTGTAAACATTTCAGTCAATTTCAACATTTCAGTTAATCTCATTTTCTTTTTAATAACCTTCACAAGAAGTATCTTCCTATTTTCTAAAGCAGTGAATTGCTTGTCTAATGAATGGTCAATGAGGGAAAAAAGAATGGGGCTCCTAGGATTGAGAGGATAGCTGTTGCCATCTGCACTTATCCTTTAAATAAATAACCTTTCTTAAGATAGAAGCACAATTTAGATGTTTAGACCAAGTTCATAAACAGAGAAGGATATTTTTCCCTTTCATTTTTCATCTGTACTGCCAACAAAAGGTCAACATCCAATGAGGGAATAAAGGATTTTAGAAACAAACCACTGGTTTAAGGGATGGTGCCACCAAGAGAATTTTGGATTCCTAAACTACAGACTGCATTATCTAAATGAAGGACTTCTGGCAAGAGATGGACTGCATCGTCTCATAAGAACTGGGAAGAATGTATTTGGAAAATGATTGGCTCAGCTTATCCGAAGAGTTTTAAACTAAAACTGAGGGAGGAGTGTGACTAATCTTTAGGATCATTAGAACCTAATGCCCAATATAAACCCTAAGACAATCAATCAAACAAGGAAGATGGGAAGGAAGAAAAACTCAGATCTAAAACAGGAGATGTAGGAAGCATACCTAGGGTCAGCCATAAAGAATTCAGATGCCTATACACAAATACTCAAAGTTTGCGGAACAAATAGGATGAACTTGAAGTACTGGTACATGGAGCAAGTAAAATATAGTTGCCATTACTGAAACTTAGTGAGATGGCACTCACAAGTGGAAGGAATTGCTGGAAGGCTATAAACTGTTCAAAAGAAACAGATCTAACAAATGAGGAGGGGGAGTTGCATTATATTAAGAGATTACTACACAACTACAGAAATGCATAAAACCAAGGATGAAAGCCTTCTTGAATGCATATGGCTTAATGTAAAAGAATGACATTGCCATAGTTGTATACTATAGTCCACCCAAACAAGCAGAATAAATAGATGAAGTTTTGGTTAATCAGCTAACAAATGAATATAGGAAACACACCATAGTAATAATGGGGACTTTAACTACCCTGACATCAACCGGGAGACAAACTCTGCATTAAGTGGAAGATCAAACAGGTTCCATACCAGTCTAGTTGACAATGTTGTCATCAAAAAGGTAGAAGAGGGAACTAGAGGGTCAGCTATATTGGACTTAATTCTTACTAAAGAGAAGAAATGATAGAAGGAGTTGAAGTTGCAAGAACTTTGGAGAAGAGTGACCACGTCACACTGGACTTCAATATAATGCAGACACAAAAACAGAACAAAATAAAACTAGTGTTTTACATTTATAAAAAGCTGATTTCAACAAACTTACAAACAGCTTGGGAAGGATTCAATGGATGAAAATCCTAGGGGAGAACAACTCCAGAAGCTTGGGAAACTCTGAAAAATATGATTATAAAAGCCCAATCCAGTACAATACTGAAAAATAAAATCTGAGATATTGAAGATTTGTAACCAGCTGACAAATCACACTCAATGTGCAGTCCTTAATGGAATTACATCTACATGGAGGGTAGTAGGCAGTGGGTTATCTCAATTCTCTGTCTTCGGCCCAGTACTCTTCAATATCTTCATAAACAATTTAGATGAAGGAATAGAAGGGGAATTCATTAAATTTGCAGATGACATTTAACTGGCAGGAATAGCTAACACCTCAGAAGACAGACTGAGGTTCCAGAAGGATCTCAACAGACTTGACCACTGGGTCCTACCTAACAAAATGAAATCCAATGGGGAAAAAAAGTAAGGTTTTACACTTAGTTAAGAAAAACCAACTGTACAGCTAAAGACTAGGTGAAACATGGCTTAATGCCAGTAACTGTGAGAGGAATCTTGGAGTCCTAGTGGACAATCACTTAAATATGTGCCAGCAGTGTACTACAACAGCTAAAGGCTGCATTAGGCTGCATTAACAGAGGGTTAGAATGAAGATCATGTGAAGTGTTAGTATCGCTTTATAATGCCTTGGGAAAAACCACACTTGGAATATTACATCCAGTTTTGATCACCACAATATAAAAAAGATGTTGAGACTTTAGAAAGAGTGCAGAAAAGAGCATCAAAGATGATTAGGGAGATGGAGACTAAAACATATGAAGAAAGGTTGCAGGAATTGATAGTCTAATGTAGTAAAAAAAAGGAACTGGGGTGACAAGATAGCAGTGTTCCAATATTTGAGGGGCTGCCACAAAGAAGGGGTCAACCTATTTTCCAAAGTACCAGAAAACAAGACAAGAAGCAATGGATGGAAACTAATCAAGGAGAGAACCAACTTAGAACTAAGGAAAAATTTCCTGACAGTGAGAACTATTAACCAGTGAACAACTTGCCTTCAGAAGTTGTGGGTGCTCCATCATTGGAGGCTTTTAAGAAGACAGTAGACAGCCACTTGTCTGGAATGGTATAGGACAGAGTTCCCCAACCTTTCTGGGTTGGCAGCATGGAGCGGAGGGATGGGGGAAAGAGGGGATGATTTTGTGGGAGGGGCAGGTGCATGTGCACGTTCTCCCATGATATTTGTGGCAATGCTTACCTGAGTAGGGCCACAATCACCCCTAGTGAGGATCGCACGAGTGGGTCTGCGAGCACCCATGACAAGGTGAGCACCTGCAATAAGGGTCATGCAAGTGGGGCTGCGATGGCCCGCAACAAGGCTCGTGCAAGTGTGTCTGCAAGCACCCACAATGAGGCTTGTGCGAGTGGGACTGACAATGTTCGCCCAAGTGGGGTCAGACTGCCCGCGATGATTGCGGCAATTCTTGTGTGAGTAGGGCCCTACATGCATACAGATGCACACACACTGATGGCTGCTCACTTGGCCCAATGGCAATTAGGCCATGGCCAGTACTGGGCCATGGCCCACAGGTTGGGTACCCCTGTATAGGGTCTGCTGTTTGAGCAGGGGGTTGGACTAGAAGACCTTCAAAGTCCTTTCCAACTGTGTTATTTTAATCAGCAATTCCTGATGGGATGATAAAAACAGAGATCTTAAACTTTGAACAAGGGATTTGAAATAAATTGATCCACAATGAACACAAGTTCTGGCTGAACAACTGAAATGCTATAGAGAATACTGGCAATATCACCCCATTTTATTTTCTGTTAAGTTCAGACTTTTTCCACTAACTCATAGAAGATTCCAAGGTAGTGTTTTCATCTCAATACATGATTCAACTAATGATAGGCTAACGTATTTCAAATGAAGGTTGAGTCTACCAGGAGTATAATAGCAGAACCTTCATAGCAATTGAGTGTTAATAATTATATGTTAAGCATATGAAGCAGCATGCAAATATATCTCACTAAAGGAATGTGGAGGTTTTTCTAATATTCAGGAAGCAATTAGTGGTATTTCTCTCCCACATTACATGGTTCACAGAATTACAGGGTTGGAAAATAGGTCTTTAGAGGTCTTGTAATCTAATTACCTGCCCAGGTCTAGAAACTCATTGCATCACAGACAAATGACTGTTCAACCTTTTCTTTAAAAACCTTCATGAAAAAAACCTGAAGGAGCATCCAGAGTTCCATGAAGGAAACTGTAGCTCTTATGAGTAGCAAAGTCTTCCTTATTTTAAGTCTGAATCTTCCTCTACAAAGCTCTACCCAAGATGATGGTTTGTTTGTTATCTTCAAACCTGGCTAATTTCCATTGTGCCAGACAAGTATTACAAAATAGTTCCAAAACATAACAATTTACTAGGTCAATTGAAGGTCTACTAATTAAAAGGTTCTGTTATTTATGGCACCCACTCAAGTTTCTTTCTAACCAGAGCCTTTCAATCACTGTCAACACATTTATCTGTAGCATCTTGTGCTCAAAGATTCGGTAACCCTAAATCGGGATAATGAGAAAACTTGCTGAAGGACCAAAAAGCACTGACCCTATCTTGTCTAAATGAAGCTCTTCCATTAGAGAGACATGAGAAAGGAAAATTAAATGTATGGTAATTATTGTTCTGGTTTAGATCAGTCCATAGCTTTGAATGCCCATAACAGTGAGACCTGCTCATTTTTTTTTTTTGACTGCAAATACAAACTACACACATCTGTATTACAAGAAGAATATGTTTATGTTAACCTACCTTCTAGGTGTAATGCCATTTTCCAAACTTGTGGTTTGACTTCGAAGCCAGCGGCGCTGGTAACTAGAAGAGGAGCTGGGAGATGGTAATGGAGTCATCAAAAGACTACTCAGGGATGCTGTCAACAAAGCAAAATGTCAGTAGTTTTGTCAGAATGTAATTTCTTCTGAACTTGAAGGTAGCTGAGCCATGCTTCTATTATAGATAGCCAATACAATTCTTATTTTATGGACTGAACGTAAGAGATAGAAAGAACTGATTACTTATCTATAAATGCAGTTAGAATAGAATAACAGAGTTGGAAGGACCCTGGAGGTCTTCTTTATGTAGATACTGTGAATGTATGCACATAAATCGGGCAACATGGATTAAACATCCAGGAAATATAGCAAGGTTTCTGGAAAAGGTCTATCAAAGAAAATAGCCAATATTATTTCCTGATTTAAATGAAAACTAGAAATTGACTTGGGAAGGGAGGAAATAGTTTTGCTGCAGGAGAGAAATCTCTTGACATAGCACTGAAGCTATTTTAGAATCTAGCAAGCTGATAGGTGTAGGTTAGATCAAAATTCAAGGCAGTAACTTTTGGGAAAAAAAATCCAGAGGTTATAGAGGACCATATACCTTGAAAATAATACAGCAGGACCTAAACTATTGGTTTGGGCAGCATATCAATGCTGCTCTGACCCTTCTGGTTGATGCAATCACAACAGAAAAAGAGCAATGGCGATAACAGCAAAAAACCCTTTCCATTTCAATACCTGATGTATTTGTTAAAGTGAAACCACAAGTAGTTCAGAAAAGGAACACAACAGCTACAGACTTGCAGTCTGTTGAGTAACGCTTATGAACCCTATCCAGTCTTATTGCTAAACAAAATATCCTCATAAAAGGATATTATCTTAGCTTCCTGAAAGACTAGTAGTACAGAGCCATATGTGATGATTTAAGTTAATGGAGAAATTGTAACCTTAGGTATGGAACTGGCTGCATGACAAACTATCTTCAATTTTTACTTGAAAAGATGTTACTTCTATCTGAAAGATGTGGGTTATTTCTCTCTTGTCCTCTGCAACTCTATCTGATTCAGAATACTGTTGATGATGAGAACCAGATTGTGATGTTTCAGTTATAATAGTGTTCAAGACACAGTGCTGAAATAACAGAGGCATTCCTCTTCTTTCACTCTATAGTCTCTCAATGTAGTACGAAATTAATAGCACCCAGCCTTTTCTTTGTGGGTACAGATGATTTTGATCAGTATTTAAAAAAAGCAAATATTTTAAGTCTCATAGCAGTCCTGGAATATAATGTCAAATTTAGAATTAGAGAGCTACATTGGCTTTAAATACAGCTTTCTTTAAACCTTGTTGCCAGAGTGGTTTGCAAACAGGAAGAGTTGCTGGAGCAAGTCTGCTTCATAAATGGTTAAATGGCACATTCAGAAATTAAAATTTGTTCCTACAAATTAGGCACTTGCAAATGGTACTCTTTAAGATCCAGAGTGAAGGCCCAATTCCTGCAACAAGGGGAAAAAACACAACTCTTTGAAGATCCAGAAATCCTAATACCAATAGAAAGATTGAAATAAAAGGAAAAGGAAAAGGAATAGTAGTGGCAAGAGATCTAATATTAAAAAGAAAGAAAGAAATGGAAATAAGAGAATCATGACCATGTTATGGTAATTCTGAGAACTAGAGTAAATTAGTAACAATTAAACCTATATGCATTGCAGAAAGAAGAGAAGATAAGTGTAAATAATAACATAAAGACTCATTTTATCTTATGTTGCCAATATTCTAATATGCTTATAGCACTAAGAACCTGAAGGTGGCATGGTGACAACATTTACATTTATCTTAAAACCAGTAACTTGTGAATATTAGAAAATCACGACTGGCAAGTCTCAACAATGAGTTTGGAACAGCGGACATCACACACACAAAAAAGATCAACATACTTTTTGATCTATACTATCAACAAAGTGACAAGCAAGTAATTCCTATTTCTAAATGTACTATCTGTATTCAAAGGAAGAATGTATGAATTTCATCTCAAAATTAAATCTGAATCTACTGGGTGATATTTCATTACAATGTTTTGATTACACTTCTGAAAAGAACAAAGAAAATGATAACTACCTGATCGAGCAATGCCACTATCTCCGTCTTCATTTTGACCTCTACTGGGCATGTCAACAGGAGTGCTGTGTGCTGAATTGTTAAAAATATCAAAGTTAAAGCAAGTATCCAAACTATCTTTTCAAAAGGTACTTCCTACTAGCAGTTGGATTCAAGAGTACTATTTTTAAAGCTCCAGAACATTAAAATAAAATAAATAGGACTGATCTATTAAGTAGAAAATAATATATTGAAACTAATTTACAACACTGTTTAGGAAGTATCGTTTGAAATATCACATTTATTATGTTCACAGGTTTGAAGTGAGAAGTCCTTTGTGCTTGGTTGTTTGCTTTCAGATGTTTCATTACCCAACTAGGTAACATAGCTAGAGGGCATGGAAGTAGCTCCTTGTTTATGTTTATCTACTCTGGCAGGGCAAGCAATTGTATATGCAGAATTAGTCTATAAGTTTGTAAGTCTTGATACTCAGAAAGTATCAAAGCTCCAGAGAATTACTAATTTCAATGCCTATGCTGCCACAAAATTCTGTGAAGTAATAAGGGGTCATTCACTACCAGTGAATTTCAAATTTCAAAATTGCTTTGACAGTGTAGTCCATGAAAACAGCAAATACCAGGACCCCCTAGATATATTTTCATGGAATGATCCTTAAGCTTGGGAACCTGGCTTCTAGTCGTGATGGCAATGTATTGTCTTTAGGATTCTCTCACAATAGAGTATCAACAAGAGAGTGCAACTGTACTTATGTTATCCACACCGGCTACACTTTGATATTTGTGGTTAGCTACTGGAGTAGTCATCTTTGGTCTGATCCAGCACAACTAAAACATGTATCCCAACAATATGTCATCAACCACATTTTAGAAAAACAAATGCACATCACTTTCAGGATTTATAAAGTTTCTAAAAGTTCGTAGGTAGAATCAATTACTCTGTTCAATTTATCTGTATGGAATACTGTTTGGAAGGGATATGTCACTTTGCACTGTTCTACAAATGCTTTAATGTGATGTTTCTAATAAATAATTTCTGTGGAAACTCTCACACTTTTACAAGAGTTGCAAGGTTAAAAAATATAATTAAAATTCAAAACAAAGTCTTAGGGAATTATAGTACTTAACAGAATTAAGATATTTATTGAAGCAAAACTGTCAGACTGGCCCAGTTTACTCCCTAGGAAAGAACAAACTTTGATTCCATAGGTGTTAGAGAAAGGGTACTTTTACTAGAGATGCTGAGTGCAGTGTAGCAAGGCAAGCTCTCAAGAAAAACCACATGAAAATCATATATTGAAAGCAATCCCCCAATATCCAAAACCCTCCCCTCCATGAGAGTAGTTCAATCAGGTTCTGTTCCGATGTTTTGAGAACCCGTTGCCTCGGGCACCACTGTAAATTCTTTTCCCAGGACCGGTGTCCTTGAAGGCAGGAAGAAGGCTTGGCTTTGGCACCCCTGCTTCCTGTTAGAGTCCATACTCCCCAAATTTGCCACATTTTTTTCACACCTCTAGCATTCTTCCCCTCCCAAATGCCCCTCCCACCCAACCACCCCATTATGGCAGTTGCTAGCTAGCTTCAAAGAAAGTGAAGCTGACACAAAATCTTTCATGTACAAGTTCACATATAACTTTTTATTTATAAGCTACAAAAATGTAATGTCCAGGGAAAATTATTTAAATTAAATCCAACATTTTAGATATTATAGAATGTTAGCACACATGCACTCAACAATTACTTATTTTCAAAAAGCTTCTTGTTCAGTAATCAATGCTAGCAGAGCAGCAAGTTGCAACACATGAAAGTAATATTCAAATAAATATAAATCAATATTAGAGAGATTACTAGATTTAGAGAGCATATAGTATAAGGTTTGTGACCCTTCTAAGATTAAATTACATACTTCTTTTATACTTTGTCCACTTCCAAAATGTTATTCTTATATTAAATTCATTTGAGCTCATTGGGTGATTTTTTTTTTAGTTGAAGCAAGGCAGTGGGAATCATAGAGAAAGTGTGGCAAATAAATATGCTAGCATTTATTGTATGTGCAAGTATAACTTCGAAAAAAGAACCTGGAAAAAAGAACTCCTCTCAAAACTGGAAAAACACAATTATTAGCATCATATAAGTGCTATTTCACAGAAAAATACTATTAATGAAGGAATTCAATTGATGTAGCCCAATAATGTCATTAGAGACATTATTATTCAATAATAAAAATGAGGACTAATTGTGTCATTCTACTTATAGAGAGTAGTTACTGATCCCATGGCAACAGATATTACTGCATCTCAAAAGTATAGATAGGTGCATCATGCTGTACCCAACATTGCACACAAACCTGCAAAGAAAGAAGCACTCCGGATGAGCCAGAAAGGCCCTCCTTCAGGTATACTATACAGCAACATGTTGCTACCTGGCGGTAACACACCTAAAGAGAGCAATATGGGAAATATACAGATCAAGGATCAGAGAAGCCTGAAATGTGAAGAACCAACCAAAGGATAGGATTTATGCAGTACCGCTGCCACATCTGCTAATTTTAATTTGATATATTTACCTAAAATACTTCCATTCTGATATTGGCCCAAGCCATTTGGATGCAAATTCAGCCTTGACTGATCTTGATTGATGTATTCAAAACTACCTTGCAAGCTTGAAAAAGAAAAGGCCGTTAAAGAAAGATATTAAAATTTCATCAAAACTTAAATCGCTAATTTTTCACTACTAATCTTAATTAGAAAAAATGATGATTTTCCAAGATTTCTAATTTATAGATTATCATCTTCAAGTAATCTATAAATTTTCCTTATATGAAAAATGGAAATAAAAATTAAGCAATTGCATCAATTATACAACTGTATCCAAATTTAGACTTCTCACCTGGAGTTCTGCATGGAGTGGCATTGTTGCTTGATGGAAATAAAAAAAAACCCTGCCTAATTAAAGAATGCAGTGATTGATTTTGGCTATATTACAGCCATATAAATATGCCAAAGTTACATCTTTTCCCCCTACCTGTTTCTTTTGGATTCAGCTGACCTAATTTTATTCCTTTTTGTTTCTCTTATCTGAGGGAACTATAATGGAACATAAATTCTCACACTGTTCATGTTGTATTACAATAGCCTATCTCATAGAATATTAGAAAATGTAATGTAAGCAGTATTTCCTAAGATATCAAGCTAACTATGAGGCAAGAAGCTAAAGTGCACAAGAAGAATCTAAGTAACTGTTGATATACAATCCACAACTTTAACCTTTAAAGCAACAAAACACAAAACTATTCCCATCATTAATTGTTGCAGTTACAGCAAAAAGCCTTCTAGTGGACAATGCTAGTATGCATCTTAAATCCTATGCCTGGAACCAATTATATTATTCTTAGACAACACAACATTTCTGTCAGGCAAAAGGACAGGTTTCCTCTTGGTGTATTTCCCAGGAGGCAGATAGAAAAAGTGGCAACCCCTGTCTCCTTCTTCCTAAAGCCCTCTTTCTTCTGAAGTTCAATTTCTTGCAGACATGAGTCAAGAGAAGATTGTTTCTTCTTTCAGACTGCTTCATGCCTCTCCGAAAGAGGGTCTGATTCTTTCTCTCTGTAAAAACACAATCTGTCTGAGCTGAGAATTCAGAGGAAAGCATCAGCAGGATGGCCATATCTGGCCAACATACTGGAGATTTTAAAGGAGAAGAGAAAGAGCAAGAAGCAAAAAGAAGAAACAAAAAGTAGCTTTTCTACTCATATAATAATTATAAGTCTGAATTGCAACCTGATTTTATACTAGACAGTTCAAAGATGTACGAAAACCATCAATTAAAATTAGGAAGAGTTCGCACTATGTGAGAGAATGAAAATATGTCTACCCAGTCTCTCCCTCTCTTCATATCTTTGTCATCCATTGCAGTGGTGGGTTTCAAAATTTTTTACCACCGGTTCTGTGGGTGTGGCTTGGTGGGTGTGGCATGGCTTGGTCAGCGTGGCTTGGTGGGCATCGCAGGGGAAGGATACTGTAAAATCTCCATTCCCTCCCCACTCCAGGGGAAGGTTACTGCAGAATGCCCATTTCCTCCCAATCAGCTGGGACTCGGGACGCAGAGAATAGATGGGGGCGGGGCCAGTCAGTATTTACCGGTTCTCCGAACTACTTAAAATTTCCGCTACCGGTCCTCCAGAACTGGTCAGAACCTGCTGAAACCCACCTCTGATCCATTGACTTCTACTACTTTTCAGGGAGAGTCTGTGATGAGGAGAAATTTAGAATTCTGATTACAGGATTCTAGGCTGCATGGACATTTGCAGTGCACATTAATGCCATGGAGAAAAATTCTACAGCATTTACTGTTATCCACTCTCCAATAATTTGATGGATGATACTCTCTATTTTTAAAGGATGATAATATTAAAGAAATTTTCATGTGTTGAGTACAGGTAGTCCTTGACTTACAGCAGTTCATTTATTGACCGTTCAAGGTTACAACGGCACTAAAGAAAGTGACCTAAGACCATTTTTCATGTTTACAACCATCATGGCCATGTGATCAAAATTCGGATTCATGGCAATTGATTCATATTTATGACCTTGCAGTGTCCCAGAATCATGTGATCACCTTTTGCAACCTTCTGAAAAGCAAAGGCAATGGGGAAGCCAGGTTCAGTTAACAACAATGATACTAATTTAACAACTGCAGTACTTCACTTAACTGTGGCAAGGAAGATCATAAAATGGGCCAAAATTCACTTAACAAATGTTTCGCCTAGCAACAGAAATTTTGGGCTCAATTATGGTCATAAGTCGAGGACTACCTGTACAGTGTTCTTGGACACGTTTTGCAACTTGGCAAGATAATTTTTATCTTTCCTGGAATTTTAAAGTTTAAATTATTACATATTAAAATTTATTCTAGTTCAGTTGTTTATTTTAACCCCTCTTTTCTTTTGTCCCACATTTATAATTAAAACTTGGCATTCTGTTTTAACGTTGTTTTTAGCCAAAGCTTTTTGTATGTACTTTGTTTAATTATTCTAATATTGTAAATTCAGCTTCAGATATTTGCATATCTATTTCTGCTGGTGCTGGCTAATGAACACAGTAAAGTCTTGCAATTTCACTCTTTCACGGGGCAATGACATAGTATTATGTATTTATTTTAATTTATTTGATTCTGTGGCCAAGTATAATAATTAGAAAAAATAAGTAGAACAGATTAAAAATAAAGATACATAATAAATATAAAAATAATTAAACATATAAAAATAAACATATAAACATATAAAAGCTATCAATAAAACTATACTAAAACAAAAATTAATCATGGTCAGCAGCCGACTTCATCACTTGATCAGATTTTATACAGCCGCTATAGAAGCTCTCCACTATTTCCAGAGCCTGGGCACGATGGTAAAGCCGTGACTTGAGAGCCATCCTAAAGGCCGGGTGGATCAGGGCTAAGGCAAGATCTACACAATTTTGTTTTAGGTAGGAATTTCTTCAGTTCTACTTTTCTGGTAGTAGAGTTATAGTATGGGGGGAAGATTTCAGCTATTAGGAAATTCCTTTCCCAGAAGAAAATTAGTAAAATTATCAACTTAATTTCTCTATCCACAAATTTGGTGAAGAATTTGAAAGGTCATTTCTCCTGACCTCTATTGTCTAAATATTAGAGAAAACATGACAAGGAAGGAGTATTAGGCATGTTCGCCACCTTGAATAATTTATAAAAATAATAAAGGTGGGATTACAATAAAATGAAACATTTTGTTCCCTACTGTAGATTTCTACATTCCAAAGTATATTCCAATTCCAATCAAGTCAGTTAATGTCATTTTAATCCTGGCCCAAATTTAGAGATTTTACATTATTACAAGTGCTGGGATAGTAGTTTTGTTCTTCCTGTATAGTGTTGATCTTTATTCTTACACAAACAAAATTACAGTCTACTTTATTATGGACTAGTTTTGAATGTTACTTTTAAAAATAAAATAAATTGAACTTCTAAGGAATTTTTCTTATAGTTAAGAATCTGAAATAAAACAGAAAATAAGATCACCTTACCTATTTGTACTTCCAAAGAAGCTGCCTACTCTAGCAGAAAACACTTTACTCATCATAAGTTGTGGAGGAGAACTGAAAGGATAAACAATGCCAAGAGTCAATAAATCCAAATGCAATTCCAATTCTGATATAATATCATGGAACTGAAGACACCAGCTCACCGTATGTAGTGAATTTTCAGTGTTGAGCCTTTGTAACTCATTGCTACTGAACCAAACATCATCTCACCCAGCATGTTGACATCTGAAGCAGGCCTGGCATACTATAGATAAAGAAGACAAGGAGTATACATGTGTCTAATTACTGTCATAAAATGTCATATTCTAATTCTACACTAACTCAGCTTTATTCTACAAGCATATTATAGTATTATTGCATCCCAGAAGAAGCAAATGCAATGCAGGATTTTCTGAAGACTTCCCGAGTTCTGCTGGATAATCATCACCATTGGCAGATAAAGTAAAAAACATATATCACCCCATAACTACGAGCTTCACCAATTTAAGACTTATTTTCTTTCTGAGGGAAGATATATACTGTAGTTACCACCTAGACTAGAAATTAAGACATATATTTATGCAAAAATACATTTAATCTTTTATACTGTAATCCCAAATGTAACAATTCATATATTTTTTTCTCCTGCTCCCATGCAAATTATAAAGCTCTTTTTTTCTATTATCGTCTTGTGGCAATAGGTAGAAATTCAATGTAAAGATTAATTTCCAGATCATGCAAATTGGATTTGTATAGATTTCAGCTGTCATATTCAGGTTACCTCATATTTAGGAATATCTTCCTGGCCAGATTCTCTGCTGTTCACAGAAGGGCTATGGGGGTAAGCTGCGTTAATACCACTATTTCTTTGGCAGCATCCGCCACCTGTTTTTCCAGAAGCATCCTAAAAGGATTGAATAAATATTAAAGATAAATCAGGCCCCAAATTTTGTTGGGGGGGGGGAAAGGGACAATTAGAACATTTGAAATTTGAAAGAAAGTTCTGTTTACTTGTAATGGTATGAGAGAATGACCTTGTGGAATGAGGAAACAATCAGACAAAGGGGAGTCCCAGTGGCGTAATAGTTAGAGAAAGAAACTTGGAAAGATCTGCTCTAATTGATCAGATGGTTAAAAGTGGTAGCGGGAGATTTGACTTGCAAGATTCTATTAATGTAGCCTTAAAATAAAGTACAATTAGATTATGTAGTTGTGTTTTCTGTCTTATTTACCTTATTTATTTTACTCTTATAAATGACTGTCATACAAACTCTTCATAAGTCATGGCAGATATGACTACAATAAAATACCCACCTACAGAACAAGTAAAGTTACTCTCTGCTACCCATTTCAGTCCCCCAGGAATCTTTTCAATATCCAGCTTGCCTTTCTATTTTCATGAGCAGGTAGGCATGCTTCCAAACAAAGCACTGGAGTGCATATTTATTCCCCAAGAATGCACCTGGGACCATGTATGAACCAGAAGAACTTATATAAATAAAGATGATACTACAAGTTGTTCTTTTGCAACATGCTACCTCCAAATGTGTGTTTTTTTAATAAAAAGAACTTTAAAAAAAATTAGTGTGAGGGGAATAGGAAGCTTAGTGAATACCAAGGCGGTCTTAATTGATAGACTAATATTGACAGAGATTTCGGAACATCAATTCCAACTCCTACAAGTACCAGTCACTTCAGCAGTATTTTGCTAAATGTACCAATACTAAAAATAATAAAAATGACTTGCTTGCAATTTTTTCTTACCTGAAGTATATGAACTGGGCTTTGTTGAATTTAATATTGATCAAAGCAAGTAAGCATTTCCTTTACAAATAGCTGACAAAACTTTCCTATTTCTGTTAATAGTCTAATCTTAAATTCTCAGGACGATTTTGTCTATTTGCAAGTAGAATCTTCAAACAAGATCTTGGACTTTTGAATTGTTTGTAAATTACTCTTTTTAATCATGTATATGTTGTTAGCCTGTAATCATGTGCCTATATATCTCTGTTTTTCCCCTTCCTTAGTAATGCAATCAAATGAAAAGTAAATGAAAAGCTATTTTTTTTAAAAAAATCAAAAAAATCAGATTTTTTTATTTAAATCGGATTTTTTTATTTTTATTTAAATTGGATTTTTTTAAATAAAATGCTTTTTGAGGAAAATATATTACCATCCAAAGGTTATTCCATCATGAAATAAAGATTAGTTTTTTTAATTATGTAGAATAAGGCTGTATATGTTTAATTTTTTTGGTAAATAAATTCCATTAATGCATTCACAATGTCATGCTTTTCCAGAGGTTTTTGTAAGATTATTGGGCAGTTTCTCTGCCTACAAGATATTATCACAGATGCTTAGTTTATTTTTGCAGTTCTCAAAACTGAATTTGATTCAGCAGAGATCACATGCCTCTTCTTCACAGCAAAAATGTTATAACATGAACAGAGTTGAGAAAAAGACCTTAATCCTATTGTTCTACAAACCTATGAATACAGAATCAACCCCTTCAGTGCTAAGTTTCAAGAAGTTCAGTGAATAGAATAGAAACAATATTTTTCTGATTGTTTGGAGTGGAATAGATCTGCACAAGAAGAAAGTGAAACTAAGTCTGAGGAGGAAGGGGCAAGCAGACAAGCAGTACAAAATAAAAGTGAAACTTTCTGAGTACAATATTGCACAGCCACAGACAGACAAGTCTTTGGATCTTTTTGTGTGTATGACCTGAGGTTTATCACATTCTTTCCTTGAAGGAAAAACCTATAATGCAGCAGGCTGTAAAAGAGACCCAGTTTGGCAATATTTTAATGAAGTTCCTTTACCTATCGGTAAAGCAGGCATGCGTGCAAACTGCAAACACAGCAACAAAGAAATGCAAGGCCTGGTGGCCCGAATGAGGCAACATCATGAGAAGTGCTGTGATGAAGATGATCAAAGAAACACATTTGAACAGGCAGGATCTTCAGGTTGGTAAACATTTTTATTGAATCATATTTCTAAAGACTGCCTTGAACTGTCATGTTTGAGCAAAATTATATTTCTAATTATTACTGCATGTTACTGTCATTTGGTACAGTTATGAAGAAAAGCAAATATTCCTTTTGGGGCAGTGCTGTGTACAATAAGCAGAAATTGTATAAACAATAAAATAACAGCATTGACTTTTTTGTTTAGGGGAATTCATGGATTCTGGAAACTATCCACCTTCAAGATCACCATCCTCCTGTTCTACAGTTACAGAGTTATCCATCCAGGATAGTGCTTTATTAGCATCATCATCATCAGACACCCACAGCCACATATCACTATCACCTAAAAGAAAGAAAAAACCCTTCCCTCCTGGAACCACCATAGATAAATTTGTGATAAAAATTAGCAGATTAGAAAAAGAGTTAATTGATGAAAAAATTGCCCCGTTTGTTTATGCAATGAACTCTTCTTTCTGTCTGACTGAGAACCCATATTTCATTAATATGGTTCAGTCACTGAGACCAGGATACAGTCCACCCAGCAGAGCAGATGTTGCAGGGAAACTGCTGGATAAAGTATATGACAGAGAAATGGAGCAATGTGTAACAGCTCTGGAGGGTAGAATTGTTAACCTAAGTATTCATGGGTGGAGTAATGTCCACAATGATCCTATTGTATGTGCTTGTATAACAACAGAAGAAGGGAAAGTCTTCCTTGCACAAACAATTGATACGTCAAGAAATGCACACACAGCAGAATACTTACAAGAAGTGGCAGTAAAAGCTATAATAACATGAACAAAAATTCAAATGTCTAGTACGCAGTTTGGTCACAGACAATGCTGCAAATGTATCCAAGATGAGAAGAAATTTAGAAGAGCAGGAAGGGAATACAAAGCTAATAACATATGGTTGCAGTGCTCATTTGCTGCACTTCTTAGCCAAAGACTTAAGTGTTCCAGAAATAAAGACTAATGTTGTTGAAATTGCTAAATACTTCCGTAACAATCATTTTGCTGCTGCAGCTCTGAAAAGGATGGGTGGAACCAAGCTAACGCTCCCACAAGATGTTAGATGGAACTCTGTGGTGGACTGTTTTGAGCAGTATATCAAGAACTGGCCTATTCTAATGACAGTTTGTGAAGAAAATCGAGATAAAATAGATGGCACTGTCATGGCCAAAATCCTCAACATTGGGTTTAAGAGAAATGTTGAACATATGCTGAGCATCCTGAAACCCATCTCTGAAGCTTTAAACAAAATACAGAAAAATAGCTGTTTTATTGCTGATGCTGTTGAAATTTGGAAGGAACTGAGTGAACACTTAAAAACAGAACTACACATGGACAGAATTAAATTACAAGCATTAAAAAAACGAATGGGACAAGTACTGTCTCCAGCTCATTTTTTGGCAAATATTGTCAATATCCAGTATCAGGGTCAAAACTTAAGTGCTGAGGAAGAGGAGTTAACTATGACATGGGTATCCAGCAATCATCCATCTGTAATGCCAACTATAATAAACTTCAAAGTTAAGGGGGAACCATTCAAGAAATATATGTTTGCTGAAGATATTTTAAAGAAAGTCACACCAGTGAACTGGTGGAAGTCACTTAAACACAGAGACTGTTCAACTAATGATTTCACTTTTAACAGCAGTAGCTTCTTCTGCAGGCGTTGAAAGAATATTCTCTTCCTTTGGACTCATTCATTCTAAATTGAGAAATCGTTTGGGATCCAATAAAGCAGGATAGCTTGTTTTTCTTTTCCAGATTATGAACAAAGAAGAAGATGAAGATGACGAGTGAGCTACAGAGAACAGTATTTAAGTTTTTCATGTGTAGGCTGGGCTGATAGTCTAAGTTTCTTAAAATATATATATTTTGTTTAGCCAAATTAGTTAAAAAACATGGATGTTTATTTAAGCAAATAACATATGCTGTAATGTTATTGTTTCAGTTGAATAAATCTATTTAAATTGTTATTATTAAGGTAATGATTATTTTTCTCCTTCCTAAGTACAACAGAAAAGTTGTCCAAATATGAATGATTAACCTATTAAACTTGGAATAAAAAAACTAATATGAAAAGTTGTTATTCTAAAAATCTTCATCTACTTGCATATTAAAGTTATACCAGCAAGAATTAGTCTTTATGTAGAAAACTATGATTTAAATCAAGCCTTACTGACTAGTGATTGAAATCGTGATTGAAATCATGATTTAAATCAGTTTGATTTAAATCAAATCCACCCTGATTCTGATTCTGTTATCTGCTTAGAGAGGGCTGTAAAAGCACTGTGAAGCGGTATATAAGTCTAAGTGCTAGTGCTATTGCTAAGAGGGGGTCAACTTATTTTCCAAAGCACCAGAGGGCAGGACAAGAAACAATGGATGGAAACTAATCAAGGAGAGAAGCAACCTGGAATTAAGGAGAAACTTCCCAACAGTGAGGACAATAATGGGACACCTTGCCTTCAGAAGGTGCAAATGCTCCATCACTAGAGGTTTTTAAGAAGAGAGTGGACAGCCACTTGTGTAAAATGGTATAGGGCAGTGATGGCTAACCTTTTTGCTGTCGCGTGCCAGGGGGTGGGGTGGGGGAGGTTTGCGTACGCTTGTGTGCCCACACCCACAATTCTATGCGTCCCGCCCTGTGCAAGCGTGCATGACCCCCCTCCCCCCCGCTCCTGGCATATGATGGCCCGGTAGGCCCGTTTTTGTTTCTCACCTGGCTCCAGATCCTCTCTATGCATCTGGGGAGGGCGAAAACAGACTTTCCCACCCCCTAAGAGGCCCGAAACAGCCCATTTCCCAACTTCCAGTTGGACAGGAAGTGACATTTTTTGCTGTCCCCAGCCCCAGAGCCTCTCTAGGAGTCCCTGGAGGCTGAGGACAGCAAAAACGTCACTTCCTGTCCAACCAGAAATTGGGAAATGGGCCATTTCAGGCCTCCAGAGGGCCTCCAAGGGGGTGGGGAAGGCTGTTTTTGCCCTCCCCAGATGCATAGAGAGGATCTGGAGCCAGGTGAGAAAGAAAAACGGGCCTCCCCTCCCCACGCCCTCCGGAGGCAGGACACAGCCTGTTTCCCTACTTCTGGTGGGCCCAGAAGGCCCAAAAATCAGCTGGCTGGCGTGTGCACTGATATGGCTACTGATATAGCATGCCATAGGTTCGCCATCACGGGTATAGGGTCTCCTGCTTCAGCAGGGGGTTGGACTAGAAGACCTCCAAGGTCCTTTTCAGCTCTGTTCTGATTGATTGATTGATATAAATGTCCCTCTGACTCTGTTTTGGAAAGTATTTGGAGTGGGGGGGGGGAAGGATTAATCGACTAGAAAAAATGAGCAGGAATCCTCTTTCACTCTTGTTCCAAGGATATGCTATGAAGCACAATGTCCTTATCACCTTTTACTACACAACAACATTTTTTTCCTCATTATTTTATAATATACTACTTTTTTTGTAAGAGCTGATTTTGTAATCTCCAAAATGGGAGATTTCAGTGGAAAGAGTAAAATTATTTCTTGTCATGTGCCTGAGTCATGCTATTGACAAGGAAAATCAGAAGAATGAGCCTCAGTTAAAAATCTTTTTTACTTCAGAATTATCTAGAATTTCAATAGAATGAGTTATAGCAGTTTCTACCCATTAGCTAATCACTTAAAGCAATAATAGTTGACAGATATAGGAAGATAAATGCTGAGGAATAGCATTTAAAACTATTGGTATTTTGACATTTCAGTGGCTCAGTGGCTAAGACACTGAGCTTGTCAATCAAAAGGTCGGCAGTTCAGCGGTTCGAATCCCTAGTGCCGCATAACAGGGTGACCTCCTGTTACTTGTCCCAGCTTCTGCCAACCTAGCAGTTCAAAAGCATGTAAAAAACACAAGCAGAAAAATAGGGACCACCTTTCGTGGGAAGGTAACAGCGTTCCGTGCGTCTTTGGCATTTAGTCATGCCAGCCACATGACCACGGAGACGTCTTCGGACAGCGCTGCTCTTTGGCTTTGAAAAAAGATGAACACCACTCCCTAGAGTTGGGAACTACTAGCACATATGTGCAAGGGGAACCTTTACCTTTATGCCAATCCTCAGAAATCAGTTATTCTCAATGGCAGAAATTAGTTTTCATTTACATAAAATGCTTTTTATATATTAAATTATATAAATTAAAATGTCAAGGAATTTTTTTAGATCTGTTTGTATATGGTAAAGCTATTTAGAGAATATATTTTGTTTAGAAGATTATAGCAGTCTCTACAGTATGTATATTTTTTCCCATTTTGGAACGGAGTCTAAAAGGGACCCATTGCCAATGGAGTATCTCTATGACTGAAACTCAGGTTTAGATTTAAATTTTAAATTTTTAGATGCAGGTTTTAAATACCAATGATTCTGATAATGATTTCTTGCTTAATGAAGACTTATTTATTAGCCATCAGTACAAAGACATCTTGAAGTATTTTCTACAAGTTTTTCTCTTCACATAATATTAAGTATCATTGTTACAAAAACAAAAAAATAGGACACAGAAATATATTTATAGATGGAAAAGAATTCAGTAAAAGCAAGGGATTCTTAAAAAGTGCACAGAAAAATAGGAATGTTGATGGAAATAAAAAAATTGTTTTATAGGAGGGTAAAAAGGGCTAAAGGAGTCTCTACCAGAGTGAACTGAAAAGTGATGAAACTGAAGTAAAAGAAGATAGGAGGTATTTTAAAGATTTGTATGGGAATAATATGATGTTGAAGAACAGAACTGAAACCCAGACTATAAATGTTATTGTTCAAGAAAAAAAATAATGAAAAGAAAATCCTACAACAATTATGAGATTTGAAAAAGGTAAAGTTTGAAAGTACATGTGGTATAACTGGAGAATAAATACGCTGTTTGCTTTTGAAGTGGCTGTGAAACTTCTTTAGCATAGTCATTTTTTTCCTGACAATTGGAAGAATACTATTATTGTTCCCTAATGCAAAGGTAGCAATAACAAGACTGGATGCAAAAAAACGGTAGGGGGCATTTAATTTGTTATGTGTCCCAGGGAAATTAGTATAATTCTAATTTAAAGGGTACAATTTGAGGAGAATAAATAATATTTGGGAATTCTGGCTTAATGCTAAGCAGACTAAGGATGCTAGCCAGATGAATACCTGGTAGGTAGATTCCCCCCCCCACCATTTTCCTCTCCAAAAACTAAGCTGCATCTTATACTTTGGTGCGCTTATACTCCAAAAAATATGGTAATAAAAACTTACCTGAAACTGTTTCTCATCAGTCTTTCGGACAGCTGTAGAATCGAACAAGACTTGTCTTCCCCGTCTTTCACAGTCTTGGTACACTATCAAGCGGATTTCATTTAGATCAAACCCAGAACAGGACCAGCTATGAGTTTTAAGAAAAAATGAAGAGAATTATTCAAGTATTTTTTTCCTCTAGCAAATCCAACAGTCTGTATTGGAAACAGTTAATTTAAGGCAGTGATGGTGAACCTTTTCCGCACCGAGTGCCAAAAAGGGAGCGCTCACGCGCTTCTGGGCCGCAACCTGGAAGAGGAGCTGCCCAGGGTACATGTGCACCCCCGAAAATGAACTTCTGATTTCAGCCAGGTACTCTTCCAGGTTTCTGGTGCACACGACGATCAGCTGGCCAGCACACATGCTCACGCAGGAAAACGGAAAACTAGCTCTTCTAGCTTCCGGCACTGCTGCATGCAAAAAGGCCAATTGATCGTTGTGCGTGCAGGCATGCCAGAAACCCGGAATGGGCGACGCCGCACATGCCAGGCAACATGGCTCCGTGTGCCACTTCGGGCACGCATGCTATAGGTTTGCTATCACAGATCTAAGGAATGGGAATTCAGAGCTCTAGTTAACAGTAGAGAAGAAGATGAAACACAACAATTCCATCAAATATTCTGCTTTCAAATATATATCTATAGTATAGGCAGCTTTGGATGGCAAAATTATTTATTTTCCCATATTTTTTAGAGGCCTAGACATTCTCCTCTATTCACTGTTTTGATAAGTGTCAGCCTTAATAGTGTAAAAAGTAACTCTCACACTGGAAAAGAGTGGGAAGCAATCAAAATTATCATAAAGAAAAACCCATGGGAGAAAATATCCAAGGAAAATTCACAATATTGAACACTATTTTAGTTTAAGAGAAAAGGCTGCATATTCATTTATTTATTTATTGGTTCGATTTATATGCCGTCCTTCTCCGGAGACTCAGGGCGGCTTACAATGCGTTAAGCAATAGCCTTCATACTTTTGTATATACCTGCTTAGTAGGGCTTTCAGCCCCCCCTAAGCAGTGTTCTTTTTTATACAAAGCCAGCTTATTGCCCCCACAATCTGGGTCATTTTACCTACCTCGAAAGGATGGAAGGCTGAGTCAACCTTGAGCCTGGTGAGATTTGAACTTGCAGTAATTGCAGGCAGCTGGTGCTATTTAACAGCACTTTAGTCTGCTGCGCCACCAAGGCTCTTATATGAGGGGGAATGGTTTTGTAACATTAAGTATAGTATGGAAAAAATGTAAAAAGAGATTTCTCCTTTTCATGCATTCTCAGAAGTTAGAATATCCAGTGTACTTGGGAAATTTGAGGAAGACAATAGTAGTTTATGTAATGCAGAGGTCAGTTATACATTCCAATACCAGATGTGGAATTCTTACCATCTTTTTAAAAAGGACAGCTTTAAAGAGAAATTCAAAGAGGGACAGATGTTCCTGAGTTGTTGGAAAAAATAGCTACATATAGTAGCAACCTATCTTTTTTCCATCTTATAGTCTATATAGTCATAGAGTCTTATAGAGTCACTATAGTCATAGAGTGAAATAGGACTATTTTTTAAATCAGAAACATCATGACTTCTCTTATGCAATTATCTATTTAGGTTGATTATTGTGCGCTTCATATAAAATAATAAGCTTGTTCCATAGTTATGAACATGTAATACATATTTTCATTATAACATGGGATAGCCACACTTGTTTAAATTTCACTCAGAATACATAAAAGTGTAGCCTTAGAAATGGAAAGAAAAAATGGAACAAGATTTAAGAAACTACATCCATCAACCTAAAAATGCTTGGGGACCATTACATATAAGGGCCTGGTGGCTCAGCAGACTAAAAGCATTGTGATTAACACCAGCTGTCTGCAATTATTGTAAGTTCGAATCTCACCAGGCTCAAGGTTGACTCAGCCTTCCATCCTTTCTAAAGTAGGTAAAATGAGGACCCAGTTTGTGGGGGCAATAAGCTGACTTTGTATAAATATACAAAAGTATGAAGGCTATTGCTTAACGCATTGTAAGCCGCCCTGAGTCTCCGGAGAAGGGCGGCATATAAATCACATAAAAAAAAAAACCAAGCACATAATATGGAAGGACTCCAAATCAGACCAATAGCACAATTTGAATGCCAAATCTTGGATGATTAGTAATATGTTTAGATCATGGTTGTATAATCCTGAATCCTTGGATTGCAGGAGCTATCCCCTCTCCCATGGTAAGGCTTTTTGTGTGACTCATAATATCCTCCCCAATTGTTGCTACTGATTTTCCAGAAATGTCAAAAGAAACCTAGCAAGTTCATGAACAGATAATGTAGGAAAGGGAAGATGTGGAGCAAAAGCAATGCATGCATGGTAAAATAGATGAAATGTAAGCATTTACATTTACTTTAAACACATCTAATTTCTATTTCTGAAGATAAAATTATATACACATGTATAATATATAGACGTAGTTTATTATAATAGCCCAACTCAATCTGTTGCAGGTTGAAGGTCTCTTTGTGGAAAGTTATAGACTGTAAATTTTTTAAGTTAATAATCTAATGATTAAAGTTGATTTTTAGAACTTCCTAGTCTAGAGCTGAGAATGACTGGCCTAAACTCATGCAGTTAACTTCCATGCTTAAGGGAAAATTAAAATTTGGGTCTCTATGCTTATCTATTATATCACACTGGCATTCTCAGGTACAGTCATGTGAAAAAGTAAGTATATCCTGTTTTGAGTTCTCTGGTTTTACCTATCAGGCCATAGAAAAAGTCATCTGATCCTTAGCAGTTTTGAAAAATAGGTAAACACAACCTCAGAGGAACAACAGATATCATACCATGTCATCGTTTATTTTACAAAAAGAAAGCCAAAATAGAGAAGCTATATGTGAAAAACTAAGTACACTCTTACTGCTTCCATAGGTAGAAAGAGGCTAAGTAGTGCCTTTAATCAACTGAACATCAGCCAATGTGACTACCTCTATAAAAGCCAAAGTTTTAGGAGTTTGCTGGTCTCCAGCAATGCCAAATAGGAAAGACATCAGCAATGATCTCAGAGAAGCAATTGTTGCTGCACATCAATGTGGGAAAGGTTGTAAGGCCATTTCCAACAAGTTTAAGGAAGGTTAACATGTTATGAGAACACCAAAAAGAGATTAATTGAACTAATTAATCAATCCCCATGGCTATACTTAACAATGCAGTCATACACAGAATTAAATCATCTTCATTTATTCAAGTGTGTCATAAGAATATTTAAAATTCAATAATTTACCCATTTTGTACTCTATGTCTTCTAACAAAAAGAAATGACAAAGAATGGGTAAAAATTAGGTCTCACTATTAGAAAGCTCACTGCCAAGACCTGGTAACATAGAATAGACCTCCCAAATACTTGAGTTATGAACTGAGATCAAACTATACCTATTACTACTTGCTCTAAGGGTAAAGGCCTAGAGATGACACAAAAGTTTGCTACATTCTCCTGATATGAGAGATCACAGAATATGAGAATGTGGGCAGGCACCCTATATCCTTCAGAAGATAATTATTATTTTTAGTCACATAGTATGACTGTGTGTGGCCATAACTACTGATAGAGAGATCTTGCTCACTTACTAAATGCAAAGGCATTTGCAGGATCGAGGACTTTTGGAAAAGCAGCAAAACCAATCATGTTGTGATGCAGTCCTGCTCCTTCTTATGAGCAATGAGCCCTGTGTACATCAATCTGACATGGCTTTTATCACTCCTCAACACTATATTTCCCTGTTGATGATTCTGTTGCTCCTCTGGTTAAATGTGCTGAGTTTTCCAGTTCTTATGATTGATTTTATGATTAGACAAGACAGTTAAGAAATCAAAATTGAAGATGGGGAGATAGAAGGGTTTTGCTCATACTTGGTATATATGTTTAGGATGAAGATATTTAAATCAGGCTTTAGCAAAGGCTGTCATCAAGTTGCACACATGATCTTCACAAAACTGTATTTAGTAACAACTTTTTGAAGCGTATGACAATATCAAACAGTTATTCAAATATGTAAAGAGTTCAGAATCTGAAAGAGCTAATCCAGTAAGACCCTCTTGGCTACAATCGCATTATATACTTTTTTAAAAAGCATTTTTAGGAGTACTTCTAATGAGAGATAAATATAAATATTTTCAGTATTAGGAATGAGGAATAGGTTTACCACAGTCTACTGGGCTCAGACTTGTACCGTTTCCCCCAAAATAAGACATCCCCTGATAATAAGCCCAATCGGGCTTTTGAGCGCATGGCAATAAGGCCAAGCACTTATTTCATGGTTCAAAAAAATATAAGACAGGGTCATATTTTCAGGAAACACGATAGTCTACGAAGAAAAAGAACCATAACTATTCTTAACATTATAACGGCTGAATCTTCTGAAGTACCAAAAACTGGTTTACAAGCTAAAGAGAATCATTATGCAAATATAATCCAACTGCCCATCACAGTCATCAAAACAATGGCCAACTATCCATTAACCTAGAAAGGAACAAGGAGTTTAGAGTTTCAGCTCTGGAGCACTGACCTATATTGTATAAAATTTTAAAGTTCTTTGACCTGCAAGGGCTAGTTGCCTGTTTTATACATAAGGCTTCATTCTTATCTGTATTGAAGTTTCTAATGTACCTGAGTTGTGACCGACAGCCTTTTCTGAAGTTAGCCAAACTGTGAATAATAGCCTAAGTGTTTAGAGAATTAAGATTTACTGCTATGTCTTGATGTGACATCTGATGTAAATTGCTTAGAAGGAATTAATGAATAAACAATGTTGCTGAAAAGGAAAAATGAGGACAGGATACTCCTAGAATTAGTAATGATTCTCCTGGGGTATGGACCTGAGTGGATGTGCAACAATACTTGCAACAGGAATTAGTGGACTTCTATCCTAAAGATAAAGATTCTTTCAAATTAAGCTCAACATGTGGCAACTATATAGATATTTAGTCTATGACCTGAATGACTGAGAATCTGCATAAACATTTAGTTATCTTGATAATATGAAAATGGTTTGCCACTTGCCTTCCTGCAGATTTTTTTTTTTTTAAAAATGAGTCACTCACTCTAGGATTTCTTAGTAGCCCCTTATCATATTAATATATATACAATTGTGCTTATCCTATGAATTTAACCATTATATGGTCCCTGAGTTATGATGGATCAGGATTGCCATCACCAAAAATGTAGTCATAAAGCATAATGTTATGCGACTGCAGTCCTGATTGCCATCATAACCCTAAGATGTGCCAGTTATTAAGTGGGAAGAGGCAGAGGTGCTGGGTAAGGAACATATATGTGTGTGGGATGTTAGGAAATGTGAACAGTAGCCACTGAAGGGCCAGCAGAGACCTTAGGCAGGCCACAAATGGGCCAGTGGAAGCTGTGGGTGGCCACACACAATGGAATAAGAGATCCCTAGGATTTTATGCTCTGTAGTGGGCTCCTTGGGAGAAAAAGGAACGGAAGCAACTTACTACAGTGACCTGTTGCCATAATGTCTAATTTTTTTTTCTTTGAATAGAATATGTTAAGGAATTTATACATTTTTTAAAAAAGAAACAACCAAACTCTCATCTACTGAATCTTGATTTCTTAATTGGGGACTTTCCTCCCACCTTAAGATCTTTACAAGAAACAATAATTTTCCACCAATTTTAACTTATGAATACATGTTTACAATCCAGAAATAGTAATGTACAGCATTATTTAACAAATGCCCATAATGTTTAATAATTTTTGCCTAACTGAATCTTTACATCAAAACATTCTTAATTTCTATTTGCATTTGAAAACTTTCAGAAATATTTTTGTTCTTAATTATTCCTCTGCAATATACAATTCCTAATTAGCTAAACTGTTGAACTCTTCACATATAGCCAGCTACTGCTTATACTCACAAAGATGTTAAAGAAGAAAATTCAAAAAATGCTATTGTAGGAAATATCTCCACCCCCCAAGATTAAAATATTCTTTATTCTTAATATTAAAAAGAGGCAGGATAGAATATTTCCCCTAAAGGAGAAATGAAGAAAAATCTTAACAAAGCAGCCCCAGTCTTCCCGCCATAGGAAATCACAGCCTCAAGCAGAAGTTTGAAGAGACTGGTCTTTAGGAATGGAGATTTTGTATCCATTGAGAAAGCCTGGCCCAATCTATTCATAAGCAAGGAGACTCCAAATAAGCAGCACAATAGACAAGGAGCCAAGGTTGACAAGATTAGCTCAGACAAATATCTAGGATTTGCATTTTCCCTTTTCTTGGTACAGCCAGCCATGACCCCTACATGACCCCACAGGAATCTGGTAACAGCCCTTAAAATATTGAAGGACATATTCTTGCACAGGAACAGGCATCTCAATTAAAAAGCCCCCAAAAATGTATAAAAGTCCACCTACTCTCAACCCCATTTTGTCAACCAACCCATTGGTTTCTGGCTACAAAATAAACCGACACTTCCTTTCCTGCCTCCGTTTTATTTCTAGCATCTTTCTCCTGGATTGGACTGGATTTTTCTTCCAACCTTATTTCATCCCATTAACTTTGTCTACTATCATCCTGTTTAACCAAACTGATGGTAAAGATCAACAGCAGATATAACATTTACTATAAAATAGATGAAGTATGGCTTCAAGAACAGGTATTACAATAGATCATTCCCCATCTTAACAGTGCTACTTTAGGTCAAAATAAGTTAGCAAGAAATGGGAAAAATAATGTGATTTACATTTTAATGCAGATTTAGCAAACCTACAACTTCTAAACCCGGAAAGCTTAAAACACCTTTCATTGCTATTTTTGCAATGAATTTTCCTAAGCAAACAGTGAATATGTATGAATTTTTATGCAAGTAAACACAAACTGATTCAGAAATGGAATGGAATAAATTAGAATAAAAATGCAATTGAACGCAATATATTTAACATAATTTGCACAATAATTTGATAATACAAAAAAAACCCTTTTAGTATTGAAAAAATAATCACAGATGATTGCCTAGAAAAGAACATGTGTGATAATAGAAATACAAAAAAGTGACACTGCCTCACAGCCCACTCAAAGCCAGTTTTACATTAAGCTTTCATACCTTTTGGATAGTACTCCGGTAAGACTCTTTGAATATTTGGAACCCTTTTCTGTCACAACTGATTTCTTTGCCTCATCCGCTCTTGGTTTTGAAAAGCTATTCACTAGTGAAGTCGGAGAAAAATGACTTGAGCTCTGTGCCTGGTTATCTGTGCTGTTAGATGATTTTGATTTACCTCCACACATTTTCAGTTCACAGACATGCTGTCATGGGCACGATTTCTTCAAAATAATCATTTTATAGTTAAATATCCAGAGAAATTACTGTGTAATAACCTACTGATGAGAGGAACGCCACACAAACATTGGCTAGCACTGACTTGGCCTTTTTAAGAAAAAAAAAATCACAACTGAATATTCTCTGCAATCAGTATTACTTCTTAGATAAAATTTAACCATTTATAGTTAAAACTTATAACCAATAACTTCTTTAAAAACATAGAATAACTTGCTTGTTCTTATAAATGCTGCCAGTTTTGTTGCTAGCAAAGAAGAACTCTGATAGTCATGCTTCCCGGTATTTCTCTGTAACTAGCAATTATTTGATCACAAGACCTAACCAGATGGCCTTCAACAGAGAGGTAGCTGCTTTCTCTCTGACTCTTCAGTTGCAAACTTGTTTTAAAACAGGCAACACCCTCTTAATGGTCTCATGTGAGCAAGTGTCATCTGACAGCTCTTAGCAACCTTGTGTCTCAGCACCATCTCTTCAAGGTAAACAGGAACCTGCCACCAATGCTACAGGCTATCTGTAAGAAATGATTAACACAAGAAAGAGACCTTCTCCCGCATTCAGACTTTCAGCTCTAATGTGATTAACATTGGTAACTTGTTTACTACCAGTAACAAAAAACAATCTGAATACAATAAGAACAACTCCAAAATTGTTCTTTGCTTCATTTTATTAGTTCTGAAGGGGTGTAAGGACAGAAAGACTAACGATTTACACTTAAATGAGATTAAAAACAAACTTTCAAGTAAACGTAAGTTATGAAATTTAGAATAATAACTGGCCTTTCTGGGTCATAAGTACACACATGGATAGAATGCAAAATAAAACACAAGGGTATTTGCAATGGGGCGGGGTCCATTGGCTGGGAGTGAATACAAATGGCAAGCAGTGTTAAACCAACATGAGGCAAGCTCTACCCCCTTTGTATGTGTGGCATGTCCTATGAATGTACAAAAGGGGAGAGCCTGCATTGCAACAGGTCAATGCTGCTTTCACATTTTGATAAAATGTTTGATCCTCCAAGTATCTATGTTAGCAATACATCAAAAATGTGAAGAGATTTGTTCAGTAATTGCCTCTGAACACCACACTTAACTATAACACTGTTAATTGGTGAATAAGGACAGTCATAAAGTTTGCAAATCATGCTTTTGAAAAATAATTAAGCATTTAATCTTAACAAACAATATGATTTTCTGCACAATGTGATTCACAGTATACCAATTTGTTATACTAGAATTAGCACAGGCTAGGAGGAGTAGTCCTCATTCAGCAACTGTCTCATTTAGTGACCATTTGCAGTTCTGATGATGATGAAAAGTAACTTTGCAATTAGTCCTCACATAACTTCCGGAAGCCTGTAAGGCAAGAGAAAGCTGAAGTAAGATCATAAGCACAGACATGGTTTCACTTAGCAACTGTTTTGCTTAACAACCAAGTTGATGGTCCCAATTATTGTTGCTAAATGAGAACTTATCTGTATTTAGATGAGATGCATAACCATCCTACAAGACAGCAACTTAAAAAAAAAAAGTCCAAATATTTGTAGGAAGAACTAACAGGGAAGCTACTGAATAATGTGCTAGTTCCAAACTATATTATGATTAAGGTTACATATGTGATATCAAATCTAAAAATTAATTGCTGGCTTTGTGTTCTGTACTAAGGATAAAAATTGAGAATCTAGGGAGGATTCAACAAATGAAAGCTAAGCCTAAAGCTGAAAAACAAAGTATATTAGTTCAGCACAACACAGTACTGAGGGGAATAGATTAACAGTACAAGATCACAACAAGCAGGTGTAGGCAATCAAGGAAGAGTTTGGTTAAAGTTTCACACAAAAAACGACTTCAGTTGTTAGCAACCCTGTAATGGGCAAGTCTTTATGTTGACACAGAGGAGTTTTCCTAGAAACTCTACTGATGCTAACTCAATTAGAAAATGGGGAAATTGTTTATCTTGCAAGCTCTGTGTTTCAGGTATAGATTATTTGCTCCCCTCTTTTCTGGCATTCTAGTCTACCATGAATCCAGCAGTTTCTTTTCAACTCTGCTCAGATTCTTTATCAGTTGTCTCTGAGATGAATATGGTAATTTTAAACTCTGATTACAACAGCTCTTACGAATGTTGAATAATCCATATATGTATACATTGAATAAAAAATACTGTGAGATTAATCAACTTCAATTTTAAAATCAATGTTTTAAAAACCGCATCATCAGAACTCAACTGATCTAAAATACTAATATTACAAGAGGCCCAGTTTATCTCCAAAAATAGATCGATTGGCTTTTTAAAAATCCTATCTACAATATGATATCTATAATATGAAGATTTCATGAATAATGAGGAGGTTGATTGGTAGATAAGGAAAGAGAGATGTTATAAAATAGATCCCATTGTCTGCCAAGATTTTGATGGCGGTCAAGTAGTAACTTTCATTCCATCACTATGTCAGATATCAGAATCACAATAATTGTTATTACAGTTGTTTTCAATAAAAAATTGTGTACATAGGTAAAATGTTTTAATTAAAAATAGTCCCAAGCACACCCTGGTAAAAAACTTAGAAAGTATACTACAATTCAGACAATATCTCATAAACTTTTCTTTTATTGCACTGAATGTTTAAACTAACGATCTACTAAGCGAAAGAATCCAAACAGTGATACATAATCCAAACACATAATGATTGCTGGCTATACTAAATACTGTGAGTGAAAGCAGATACCGGTATTGTAATTAAAAGAGGAGCAGCAGTGGAAATTTAGCCATGAATTAGGACATGTATTTTCTTTCAATCTTTATGGGTTTGAATTTGAAGATTAAGTAAAAAGGGGAAATCAAGGAATAAAGATTTATTTTCCATATTCTTTTCGGGCTCAGAATTGAGTATCTTCCTCCACATTGCTTGCACAACGTTTTTTGATTCAAAAAGCAAAAATGCCAAGCCTCATTTTACACACAGGTTGGTAACATTAAAAACATTCTAGAATTATGTTTACAGTGGCAATGAATGAATGCTTGGAAATCTCAGATGAGAAAATTACTTCAGCCTGCAATTGGATTCAAGTTGTTTTCTAGAATTCACAGTCAAGGCAAATAGTTTTGTTATCAGATGAGAGTTTTAGTTTTGTAGTCAGAAAATATTTTTGAAAATATACTGAGAATGAGCAATATTTTATTTGTAGAAGGAAAAGAAGTTCAATGTAGCTCGCTGAGAAAATTGCTAAAATAAGCAAATAATTATAATTATATTGCAATATTAGTTGGTTAACCTCCAATTATCCAATACTGCTTATAAATTATATAATTAAATTTGACAGCAAAACATTACCACCCCTAGAACACTTTCAGGATATTTACCTGCGACATTTCTAATGCCTGAATGCTATTCTATTTATCTTTCAAACAGGGCATACAAAATTTTACGGAATTTAAAAAACTGTTAGAAATAGGAAAATAGCCTCTGGAACTGTCCTACAAACACTTGGGCAAGAGTTTGTGTAAGAATTCAAAGAATGTTATAACAAGTAGATTGTATGACTACTTTCATATTTCTGTCTAAGCATAAAAGTGCAGTGACCTCTTACGAAAGATGAGGTTGTAATTTCACTTTTGTTGCATAATGTTCTAGTGCAAAATGTATGCAATTCTTCAATACAATATTCCTTATATGCAGAAAACACAACCAAACTATAAAAGATAAACTGTGATTTCTGCATAAAGTACTCTATTCTTATCACAGTTTTAATGTTTATTTTTTTTATTATTTATTTATTAAATTTATATACCGCCCTACTCCCGAAGGACTCAGGGCGGTGAACAGCCAAAAGATAAAATACATATAGTACAAACGTTAAAAAACCATTAAAATACAATTAAATAATTTGGCCCAAAACAAATTTAAAACACCCCAATTTATAAGACAAATTTAAAAAGCAATTTAAAAGGGAAGTTTGGTCAGGCCAGCCTGCTGGGATAAAAATGTTTTGAGGGCACGGCGGAAAGTGCGCAGATCCGGGATCCTCCGTATCTCCAGGGGGAGTTCGTTCCAGATGGCAGGTGCCCCCACAGAGAAGGCTCTCCCCCTGCGGGCCGCCAGTCAGCATTGTTTGACCGGCAGCACCCTGAGAAGCCACTCTCTATGGGAGCGTACTGGTCGGTGAGAGGCTACTGGTGGCAGAAGGCGGTCTCATAGATATCCCGGTCCTAAGCCATGGAGCGCTCTAAAGGTGGTAACCAAAACCTTGAAGCGCACCCGGAAGACCACCAGGAGCCAGTGCAGCTCATGCAGGAGGGGAGTCACATGGGACTGCCACGTCGCTCCCATAACCACCCACGCGCCGCATTCTGGACCAGCTGGAGCCTCCGGGTGCTCCTTGAGGGGAGCCCCATGTAGAGACCATTGCAGTAGTCCAGGCGGGAAGTGACAAGGGCATGAGTGACCGTACTTAACGAGTCCCGATCCAGAAAGGGACACAACTGGTGAAGCAGGCGAACCTGATAAAAAGTCCTCCCGGCCACAGCTGTCAAGTGCTCTTCTAAAGACAGCCGTGAGTCTAGGAGGACACCCAAGTTGCGAGCCCTCTCCGTGGAGGCCAATGACTTGCCATCAGTGATGGCACCAACTGACTATATCGGGACGTCGGAAACCACAGCCACTCAGTCTTGGATGGGTTGAACCTGAGTCTGTTTCTCCCCATCCAGATCCGTACAGCCTCCAGGCACCGGGACATCACTTCAAGGGCATCATTGGGGTGATCTGGGGTGGAGATATACAGCTGAGTGTCATCAGTGTACTGATGGTACTTCACCCCGAAACCATAGATGATCTCACCCAGTGGCTTCACATAAATGTTGAACAGAAGGGGCGAGAGGACCGACCTGTGTGGCACCCCACATACAAGGGGTCTTGGGGTCAACCTCTGCCCCCTGCCAACACAGACTGCGACCGGTCGGAGAGAGAGGAGGAGAGCCACCGCAACACGGTGCCCCCCACCCCTAACTCTTCCAACCGGTGCAGCATGATACCATGGTCGATGGTATCAAAAGCCGCTGAGAGGTCTAATAGGACCAGGACAGAGGAGCAACCCCTGTCCCGAGCCCTCCAGAGATCATCAACCAATGCGACCAATGCCGTTTCCATGCTGTACCCAGGCCTGAAGCCCGACTGGAACTGATCCAGATAAACCGATTAATCCAGGTACTGAGGGAGCTGTCGCGCAACCACACTCTCAACAACCTTCGCAACAAAGCGAAGGTTGGAGACTGGACGATAATTAGCCAACACTGCTGGGTCCAGGGAAGGCTTCTTGAGGAGAGGCTTTACCACCGCCTCTTTCAAGGCGGTGGGGAAGACACCCTCACTCAAGGAAGCATTTATAATCCCCTGGAGCCAGCCTCATATAACCTCCCGAGAGGCCAGCACCAACCAGGAGGGGCACGG